GCCCGATTGGGATCATCTTCCTTCGGAGGTGTGATGTCTGCAACAGCAGGACGAGGTCTTGATGGCGCCTGGGCTGTTGGCTGTTGGCACATAGAAAGTTAAGTTGCAGCATATATTGCTCAATTAATCAAAATAACTCTCGAGCACAATCTTTAGGTTAAGCCGAAAGTCTGGGGTTTTCAAGATAAGCTTGTGATCATTCTGGGCCAGGGAGACCAAAGATTTGGAGTCTTCATCGGAGGCCACAGAAACAGCATCAGACTCGGACTCGCTGGCACTGCAGTCGCTGTCCTTACTCTAGACAGAGGCACTAGGAACGTCATTGCAAATACATATGACTTACTCTATGCAGCTCGGAATCAGTATCACCGTCATCATCATCATCATCATCATCTTGCTCACCGGCATCTTTGCACTTGAGTGTGCCTTTGCTGTAGTCCGGCCGGGGCGGCGGCAACGAGTCTCGAAGTTCAGACTTCAGGGCCATGAGCTGCTTATTCCGAGAGGAGCGGGATCGGCGAGACAATCTCTTGAATCGACTCACCTGGGCTGAGGTTCAGGGTTCACATAGGGGGATACTTAGTGGCTTGGTTGTTTAGGGCTTAAGCCTGTAGGATTGTAAGGCACTAGGGTTGTCAGTTGTTTTCAACGACCACCCCAGAAGCTATATAGTAGTCCTTATAGACGCATACATATATGTATATGTGTATCTATAGATGTATGTTTCAAATGTATATATGTTACATCTAGGTCATGGTGTCCAGAGCAGGTTTTCTACAATACACATAAGAGTATGGCACAGTCATTTGCAATTCGGAAGTGAGGCACAAGCTTCTTCAGAGCTATGCCAGTACGGACTCCCCATTCTTTTACAGATGGGGCATGTACAGACACACCTTGCGGAAGTTGGGAATAGCGCTGGTACCACCAGCACAAACCATCCGATATGACCGCCGCGCTGAGGCGACGTCTCTCTGCAGAAGCCCTCACCACGGCTGCTATGGCCTACAGCAGGCATGTGCCATACATGCTCAATCACCACACAGCTCCATTTCAGCATTGTCTTCAGTCAAGCAGCCCTGGGATTGGCAATCACATCTTTACGTTCTGGTTTGCGTCTAGTCTGGAACAGCTTCCCCGAGCGGTCGCGTAGCACCGCGAATCCCACCTGAGTATATGTGTGAGGAGCCCCAAAAACGACGTGTATAGCAGCAGGAGCAAGAGCAGCTAGTAGTATAGTAGTGGTAGCAGTCTTAATCGCGGTGGTGCTAGTACTATACTATAGTAAGTAGGTGCTGTAGTTAGCAGTAGTGCTAGTAGCAGTAGTAGTAGTGGTTGCTGTTGTTGGTTGATGGTGTCGGCAGTCATGGCATGATGGTCACAACAAAGAATCAGCAAGAATCAATCAGCCGAGAATCATCCTGAAGCGACTCCTCCTTCCGAAACTCGCGACCCAGCAGTTTGGACTCTGGACTGCATTTGAATTTAACATCACCGGACTTCAGCCAAGACATGCTGGCTTATGTCTAAGCTCGGGCCCATACGAAGCTCGGTCAGCAAGCCAGTGCACGATCGCAACCCAGCCCTGACACACAGCACTATTGAAACAGTCTCACACCAGAAGCCCTTCCCTAAACCACCTTTTGAACTTCTTAATCCCTGGACTCACTCGGATAAACCTTAAAGCCACTATAGTCCCTGAAGTCTAAGGCAGAAGCCAATCAATTGCAAAGGCTACAGAACCCTTAGTCGCAGGATGGTTTGATGGCTCTGAGTTGAGGAGATCCTCAGGGTTTATAATTAGGCTGTATTGGTGAACCCCAAGCTGTAGCATACCTTGGAAGTTAACCCCCGACCGAAGCTTGAACTTCAACCCACCCAGCAAAGAGCGCAGGGGAAGGGCAGCACCGATGATCGAAGCGAATGACTTCCGGTTTCTGACCTGGGCGGCTTCGGGGTATTATTAGGGCCATAGTAGCTTATGCAACAATACAATTTGCATCGGTACCCTGAGAATATTGGGCATCCCACCATGAGGGACCAGAGAAATCATCGCACGAAGCCGCATCGACCTGCACCACTGATTGAATTACATTAAGTGTGATTCACCAAGCGGAGACCCGGCCTCCCAGATCACGAAGCCAACCGAAGCGTCCATCGGCTTACATCGGCTTGCCGCAAAATGGATCAGCCATCGATGGTCTGAAGGTTTGGGGTTCAGGTTCAGGGGGTATAAGGCAGGCTACCAATCATATGGAACCCTGAATCCAAAAGCTGAAAGCCCTATATTCCCAGGATCGCTGCAGCCCTATACCAAAGATTGGCCTTAAGATGTCAGGGCACAAAGCTAAAAGCACCCAGTGTCGGAATCCTGACATGAGTTTCGTTTAGATATTGAAGGGTCATATGTGATCAAAACACCGTACATCATCTGTCCATGCATACACAATTAAGATGAGGAAGGGTAGGGTTGCTCAAGGATTTCTTGTACTATGCCATGCAGGAAGCTCGCTTCAAGATTTCGGCCGCGCTTCATCACAACATCCTAATCCTAGAAGCCCCAAACCCAGTAACAACCCTGAGACCGGGTGAAGGGCACCCAACCGAAAGCCTGTAAGTCGAATGGCCGCGCTTGGAACCTCCACTGTTGATCATTTGTGAATGCCAAAACCTGCATCCTTGCACAAGCCCGGAAGCCAAGCAAATTGGCAAGAAGATCAATTGCTACTTTGGTTCAAACTTTTGATTGGCTGGAATCAAACACTATCATACTGAATACTGAATGTCCGAATCTACGGCCCTTCTCCGAAAGCCAAAAGCCACAAGGCTACAATAGTAGCAGTATTGAAAGTGCCTGGAGAACCTGCAGATTCAAGGGCTTAAGGGGTACTTGGGATAGAAGGGTTTCGGGATCCGGATTGTGAATTTTTGGATACATAGAAAGGGTCGGAGGGCTCTTGCTTAGGCCGCTTCAACAATCGTCAAGGCCTCTACAAGGTTTTCTTGAGTTGCAGGGGTTCGTGTGCGTTTGGGGTTGGGGTTTTCTAGGGCTTTTAAGGATTTAGGATTGAACCCCTAAAGACTCCAAGGGATCCGGCCCAAGGGCCGGGAGCAGGCAGCAACTCGAGGAGATTTCTCCCCATCAATATCGTACTACACATATATCCCAGCACTACTACTGCTGCTATATCTACTACTACTACCACCACTACTACTACTACTACTACTACTACTACTACTACTATTTCCTTTTCATTTGCCCCCGGGTTGTCTCACCATCAACCCTCCCTGTAGGGGGCAAACGAAAAAGAAAAACTACTACTACTACTACTACTACTACTACTACTACTACTACTACTACTAACTACTACTACTACTACTACTACTACTACTACTACTACTACTACTATTTCCTTTTCATTTGCCCCCGGGTTGTCTCACCATCAACCCTCCCTGTAGGGGGCAAACGAAAAAGAAAAACATACCACGACTACTACTACTACTACTACTACTACGACTTGTGAAGGTACTGTACTACAGTATTAGATAATCTACTAACCAATACAACACTACCAGTCTTAGTACTATAGATACTAGTACATAGTACAATACCGCTACGGTTGGGACGACTACGAGAGGGACAAACACAACTGCTTTTCTCGCCCTCCAAACAGTGGTCCGGCTTGACTCGAACGTGAATTACGAATTCCAGGTCGACACGGATCTGCGGAAACTGGAGGCCATAGTCAAATATATACATCTCTGGCAAAATCCAGCTTCAACGGCGTCGTGAACACTTCATACAGATGCATAACCTTTTTCTTCCATTGGAAGGTCTCTTTTTCACGTACACTTTTCGGATTGCTGACTGCTGCACGAGGAGTCACTGGCGGAGATATCACCACAGCATCACAATCGATCTTCTTCAACTTTTCTTGCACATACTGGTACATGTGCTGTTTCTTGAACGTGTCGACGAACACTTCGCGCTTCTCCATCCGGCGGAGCATCTGCAAGTCGATTTCGGAATCGGAGCTCGACATTGCACGTGGGAAGCAGGTACTGAAGGAGCTAAGCAGAACGAGACTACTGTGACTGAATGCTAGTAGTTAATACTACTCTACTACCACTATTGCCTCCATTATAAGTTCACCACAACGTCCACTACTACAACAACTACATACTATTTTCCCGAGGCCTCTTCTACTCCACTATTCTTTCCATAACAACCACTGAATACGGTACTTATATACTACTATTATAATGAAACAACAATGCAAATACAACTACTACTTTATACGACTGCTAGCGCCAGTAATGGTATTCGTACCAATACGATGTACTACTACTACTACTACTACTACTACTACTACTACTACTACTACTACTACTACTACTACTACTATTTCCTTTTCATTTGCCCCCGGGTTGTCTCACCATCAACCCTCCCTGTAGGGGGCAAACGAAAAAGAAAAACATACCACGACTACTACTACTACTACTACTACTACTACTACTACTACTACTACTACTACTACTACTACTACTACTACTACTACTACTACTACTATACTACTACTACTACTACTACTACTACTACTACTACTACTACTACTACTACTACTACTACTACTACTACTACTACTACTACTACTACTACTACTACTACTACTATTGCTACTACAAAGCTCATGCTCCATGCACTGCAACCCTCACGAAGTGTTCTGCTAGCCGCATTGTTGAGCACCATGCATATGCACACTTAAATACTATAAGGTCGGGATTTCAACCTGCAGGGGTTCAGGGTTGATATGATTCATAGGGGATAATTTAAGGTTTTTTGTTTTTTTGTGGCAATTAGCGCAGGAACAAGACAAACGCTGTACAAAGGCCTATGTACAGAGTGTAAACGTCCAGAGTTGCTGTTTTTAAGGTCCATTTGAAATGGCCCTTATAATAAGGCTCATTTCTAAACGCACACGTACCTTATTATAAGGGTCATGTCGACCACAAGGAAGGGCACTGGCACGCATGCGGGCGCCGGCTCTGGCGCCACATCTGGCGGTGGAGGTGGCCCGACCACCACGAAGCCGGAGACGCAGAGGACGAATTTTCCGTGCCATGTGGTACATGTCACATGGGATCTTGGCGAGGCCGAGGCGGAGAGACTACTGGCCATCACTGACACGGCTTGTTCGCGATCGGTGGCAGGCTCCGGATGGGTTGACGGCTACATCGAGGAGGCCAAGCGTAGAGGATGCGAGCCCCAGTTCCTCTCCTGCAAAGAAGCGTTCAGGTTCGGAGCCTCAAAGGTTTTCGTTGCGGGCTATGCCATTGTGGTTTGCTTTCGCATCGGGAAGTTCAAGGTGGCTTTGAAGGTCGCCGTGGTGAACGGCGAGGTCCCTTTGCTGGTCTCCCGACCGGCCCTTGGACAACTCGGAATGGTGATGGATGTAGCTTTGAATACGGCGACTTTCAAGAAGCTTGAGGTTCATGACATGGAGCTCCGCATCACGGAAACCGGCCATCCGGCTCTGCCTATAGAGCCCGCTTCTCTGCCCAAGTCTTACCAAGGCCTCTCAAGTGCAGACGGACCGGAGTTGCAGATCTTTTCGGTCGCTGATCAATACATGGAGGGCGATGCGTTTGCTCCTTCGGGGTTGTGGGACTCGACTTCTACTTCGGATTTTTGGAAGGGTTACCAGGATTCTTCGTGCGCTATCAATTGGATGACTACCTCAACCTCCGTTCCGAGTGCAAGTTTCTCTTCCGACGACGTTGTTGGTTTTGACAGTAGCCGTGAAGATATTACTCCTACCTCTACCGAGTATTCCCCCGAGAACCAACACGATCCTCTATCTACTACAACTCCCAAGTCAGTCGTCAATGTGTTCTATCCCAAAAAGATTGCCGTGGCCACAAAGAACCTCCTCCTCGATGAGAACTTTAACGCAGAGAGCTTCATGAACTGGTGGAAGGGTACAAACATTTCCAATGACTTCTGGGTTGAGAATGACAGTGTCCTCATTCGTATACACGTCGTCCCTAGGAGAACCTTTTTCGATCCCTCAAATTGGAACACCCAGAACCTCGAACAGAAGGCAGTCCTCATGGGCAGTTTGGGCGCAGTTAGGACAGTGCAAGCTTTGTCATGCAAGACGTACAGACCCTTTCCAGAAGTACATGGCACATGGCGCGACGAACGTGATCAGTCATCCTTTCCGATGCTCTGGATTGGAAGAACAGTGTTTTGTAGGAGACGACTCATGCCTGATTTCCTCCCTCCTACTTCAATTCGCGATCATGTCGTCCGGATCCGCGCTCCTGACCGCCCCGATGATCACCCGTCCGAAGACGTTGTGGGAGCTGACGAAAGCGGAGTTGGTCCACGAGGCACAGGCGAGAAACCTGTGGTTCCACGACTCGTGGACGACGACAGAACTCCGATCCCTGATCCAGGAAGATCGGAGGAACGTGTCCCAACAGCAACTTCCTGTCGCGGGCCTCAGCAAGATGAACATCGAGGACTTGAAGGCCAAGGCCACCGAGCTGGGGTACAAGTTGCCGCCAGCTGCTACCCGCGGGACGATCCTGCGCATTGTGCGCGACCAGAATGGGATGGGACCGGAGAGCCTGATGACCTTCGGGAGGTTCTCCGGGAAGAAGTTCATCGAGACCCCAGTCTCTTACAGAGAGTGGGCAGTTCGGGAAGTGAGCTCGAACGACAACCCCTCTACGTAGTTGGTGATGTATGCAAACTGGTGGCAGGGCGAGCTCTTCAAGATGGAGAAGGAACACGAGAGCAAGCCCACGAGCTCCACGGCAAGGCCGTCGAACTACATGGACCCGGAGACGCACGCGAGCATCCCCTACACGGACGAGGCCGGATCCCTGAACTCGTGGAGCGAGGTGACGGTGAGGAGCTCTCCCCCACGCGAGGGCTACGGCGCGAGACCGAAGGCAAAGTCAACGACGGCACCAAGAACCCCACCGACGAGGCGGACGGCAATGGGATTGAGCGGCCCCCTTCAGGGCCACTGCGAGCAGGACGCGGAGGAGATCTTCTACGAGTGCGAGGACGTCGGCGGCGGTGGCGAGCGAAACGAGGAGGACCAATGCGGAAGCCGACCCCAGACCTACGAGCCCGACGAGATTGACGACTACCTGGTGGAGACTTATGTGCTCGATGAGGGCGGGTCCGGAAAAGAGCAGCCTTCTATGAATCCTGGAGGCAGTGGGGATGTAATCCAACGTGAGCCCTCTGGGGTGAAGTCTGTCTACGCTGCACCGGAAGCCCTTGCTGAGTGTGAAAGGATGGCCAGGCAGAAGCTCAGCCTCAAGAAGTTCTCCTACGGTGACCTTTTGGAGATTGCCCAGATGCTCCCCCTGAAGTGTGTCAATGGCAAGCGTGGTTCCCGCCGTGGTGGAGGGGATCCTTACAGATACTTCCTGGGTGGGATGTACACCTACGGGAAGTTCTTTGGAATCGCAAAAGGGACAAGGAATTTGCCATGGACAACACGCTACATCAATGTCTTCGCGAGGGAGAAGTTCAGTGGACCCTGGACCTCGTTCGTCCTCTTTCGGGACACCGCCACACAGGTGCACGCGGACGTGCACAACCTCCCGGGCACCTCTGTCACGACTGTGAGCTTCGGGAACTTCTCCGGAGGCGAACTTTGGATCGAGGCTGCAGATGACTCGGAAGGCATCTCCCGGAAGGCCCCAGATGGAGCCCTCTTGACTGGGAAATTGCAGTGTACCAAGGAAAAGCCCTTCTGCTTCGACGGTAAGACGAGACATGCTACTCAACCATGGGAAGGAGAGCGATGGGCACTTTCTTGCTTCACCACCCGCGGCTACGCTGGAGCATCGACGAGGCTCAAGGATGAGCTTCGTGAACTACGCTTTCCTCTGCGAGGACTGCCTCTCTGCGTTCGAGATGGTGATCTTCAGCCTCCAGATCCTCATCGAGTCCCGAGGCCTAAGAAGAGCATTCGAAAAGGGCTGTGGAAGGCCACCAATCGACTTGCAATGCTCACTACATGGTGTACAGCGGCCGCGAGCTGTTACGTAGCCGACAATTTCCCGCTTTCGAGAGGACCAGACGCAGCTACTCTTCTGGAGATTGGCGGCTACACGAAGACAATGGAGGTCACTGAGATGAACTACGTTGCGATCGAGCCCTACGAGTACGACCCCGAAATTACCCTTGGCGAGAACACCACAAAAGTCGAGGAGATCTTCGAGAATTTCTCCCCTCCCACTTTGTGGGTTCACGGAGAACAACCTCTGGAGTTCCTCTACGGCCTCCTCCCGGTCTTCCACAAACAGATCAATTTGGGTCAACAAGTCGTGTTCGAGGCATCTGCTGGGCATCCCCTATGGAGTTCGACCACCCTCAAGGACCTCTTTGCGAATTGGGGGTCCTCCGATTCAACGATCCCTCCGATGAGGGGTCAGGTGAAGGAGAACAAGATGTGCTGGACAAGTTCGTGAACTACGTGAGCCATCCCGATCCACGCCGGGACGACATTGGCAGTAATGAGTGCGACTACCTCGATGAGCTCCATGGCAAGAATGAGAGCTCTCCCGCAGAGCGACAAGGACACCCTTCTCCCGAAGAACCCCATGGCGCTGAGATCACTGCAGACGAAGGGGACAGGGGCTTTCATCGGGAGGAGACCTACGTTGTGGACCAACAGAGGGCCCGTAGTTCAGGAGACCCTTCTCCCGAAGAACCCCGTGGCGCTGAGGCTATCTCCTTTGAGAAAGGAAAAGCTCTGTCTCCCGAAGTCAGGTCGTCTCTGAAGCGTCTACATCAGAACATGGGCCATCCTTCGAACTTGGATCTGGCTCGTCATCTTCGTTTGGCCGGAGCCGATGCTACCGTGGTCGAAGCTTGCAAACGTCTGCGCTGTCAAGTCTGCCACAGGAATCAACGTGGAGCCAGCGCAAAGCCGGCTACACTCCCGAACCTCTTGGACTTCAACCAGCTGGTCGCAGTGGACGCCTTCTATGTCTATGATTGCGACGGAGAGAAGGTTGAGCTGATGATGATCGTCGATGTGGGAACGGGCTTTATCTCTGCCGGCGTTCTTCAAGGCCACTCTGCGTCGACCATGGAAAGTAGCTTCTGTACGATTTGGAGCAACACTTTCGGAGCTCCTGGGACAATGATCGTCGATCTGGAGAGCGGTCTACAGTCGGGCCTAGGACGCTTCAGCGAGTGGCATGGCACCAAGATCAGACCCGTCGCCGGACAGGCCCACTGGCAGAATGGAACTGTGGAGCGGGCCATACGTACTTGGAAAGAGATTTGGGGAAGGCTTGTTGACGAGTGGTCTGCTTCATCCGAGGAGGCCGGCATGATCATCACCGCGACCAACACGGCGATGAACACTTTGAGGAGAGAGACGGGATTTAGTCCTGCACAAGCCGTGTGGGGACGAGATCCCCAACTTCCGGAGGAGCTCAAGGGCACCCCGCAGGACGAGCATGTTGAGCACATCATTAGCCATGACCGACAACGTGCACGAGAACATTCCTTGAGGATCTCCGCGAAGGAAGCCTACTTCAAGGTGCAGAATGATTCCCGGTTGCGTCGTTCTCTATTGCAGCGCTCACGTGTTGCCGGTCCCGAAGTTCAGCAGGGGGCCCACGTGTTCTTCTACCGCAAGCCGAAGAACAACAAGAACTGGGAATGGCATGGTCCTGGAGTGGTGATAGGACGAGAAGGCCCTAACGCCTGGGTGTCGTTCTCCGGACGATGCCACTTGGTTGCGCCAGAACACCTGCGCTCGGCCAGCGCAGAAGAACTCGGCGCAGCCTTTGCTATGAGATCCACGCAACAAGATCTCCAGAAGCTTCTGGAGCAGGACTTTGCCGATGAAGAGATGTACGAGGGTGAGGACATGGAACTCGACGACGATCTCGGTCTGGCCCCAGAAGGGACTCATCAACAAGAAGGACAGAAGCGCGGAGAAGGAGTACGTCGTGCCCGAGATCAGCTCTCGGCTCCTCTGGTGGCCAAGCGCCACAGGACCAAGGGTCCCCCGACGCAAGACGCCGAGTTCACCTATACCACGAGGCCTACATGCTCAAGCTCCCCAAAACACCTCGAGGACGAGAAAAGGCTCTCGAAAAGGAACTCCCGTGGTCTCTCATTCCTCCAGAACAACATCAGGGATTTAAGGACGCTGAGCTCAAGCAGTGGAACGAGCATGTTGAACATGAGGCTTTGGAGCCTCTGTCCGTCGAGGAGAGCCGCGAAGTCCTTCGCACCAAGGCAGGCCGGGTTCTGAACAGCAGGTTCGCATACCGCGACAAGTTGTGGAGCAGGAGACGCCAGGATCCCACGGTCGGGTGGAAACACAAGGCGAGGCTTGTGATCGCCGGACACCGGGACCCGGATCTCTTGAAGGGATTACCCACCCACGCACCGACCATATCACGACAAGGGATCCTCCTGCTCCTCCAGATCCTGTCCAGCAACCTCGAGAACGATTGGAATGGATACGCAGGCGATGTGACCGCAGCATTCCTATGTGGGGAAGAGCTTCAACGTGAACTTTATCTACGACAACCAAGGAGTGGACTCGGGAACCTACATCCTGAGCAATTGCTGAGGATCCGCAAACCCATTTTTGGGCTCGTTGACTCACCTTCGGCATGGTGGCAAAAGTTTCGATCTACGATGCGTTCCCTGGTTGTCCACCACGATGGAAAGCGATGGATGGTAGTCCAGAGCACCCTCGACCACTGCATCTTCATGGTACAAGAGGTCTTGTCGGAGAAGGAAGGCGGCGGATACGAACTTGGGCCCCCTCAGGCCTACCTCGGGGTCCATGTGGACGACGTGCTCCTCGTCGGCAAGCGGGCGCTATGCGAGGTGCTGAAGGCCGAGATCAGCAAGAAGTTTCCCATCCGTGATTGGGAGACGGAGAAGTTTGAGTACGTCCGAGATCTGCGAGGACAAGGTGAAGATCAGCCAGGCGAGCTACGCGGCCACCCGGCTGTTTGAGATCGAGGTTGACAAGGAGAGCCCCGACCACGCCGAGGCCTCCGAGACCCAGAAGCACGACAACATGTCACTGATTGGCGCACTTTCGTGGATGGCGAGCCAAACGCGACCAGACCTACAGGTTGGAGTGTCGATGAGCCAGCAGCGACAGAAAGACCCCTTAATTGGGGACGTCCGGTTCACCAACCAGTTGGCGAGGAGAGCGATGGAACACCGCGAGAACGGCCTGGAGCTCTACCCCATTGACCTTCAAGACGCGGTGCTTCTGTGTTACCACGACGCGGGATGGGCCAATGTCCCCCAAGACCAGGAGGACCCCTACTACGCCCTCACGAAGGAGGAGGACGCTGCTGGCCTTATCACGGACGGTCCCTTCGCCCGGAAGAACGCCAAGGCCAAGAAGGCCAATTCTTCGATAACCTCGCAATTGGGAGGAATCTACATGCTTGCGAATCGAGAAGTGCTCCACGGAACTCCGTCAAAAGGGAGCATCTTGGACTGGAGAAGCGGAGCATGCGACAGAGTGTGTAGATCTACGTTTGCGGCAGAAACAATGGCCTGCTGCACTGCCACAGAGACCGGAGACTACATTGCGCGGTTCTTGGAGACCTTGCTTACCGGAAAGCTTGAAAGAAAACGATCCCGCTTCACCATCCGTTTCCTCACGGACTGCAGGAGTCTCTACGACCACCTGACGAGAGATGGCATCCCGAGAGTTCCGAGCTGCAAAAGGCTCGCCATCGACTTGGCGGGCATTCGCGAGGACATCGCCAACTACGGAAGGATCGTGTGGGTGCCTACGTGGGCCCAATTAGCAGACGTCCTAACTAAACCGCTAAAAGCGGACCAGTGGTGGGGTACTGTCCACAACGAGCTAAAGCTCACTTTTCTTGAGAAGGGCGAATGTATAGAAGGAGAGATTTTGCATAACCAGTGTAAAGCTTGAAGGTTTTGCAGACTCCCTCCTCGACTCCGCCCTTGTACGACCCGCAGGCACAATCACAAGAGTATCTCGAGCTGCCGTGCAAAAGGAGCCACGGCCGAGTTTGCAAGGCCCGGGGAGGGATCTTGCGCTTCTAGTTTCAGACTAAACCCCTAAACCCTGAAACCTAAACCTCTAAACACCAAACCCTGAACTCTAAACCCCTAAACCCCCCTAAACCCAAAACCCTAAAACCCTAAGCCCTAAACCACTAAAACCGGCCCAGCGAACTGAGGCCCGAGCGGTCCAGGTTTACCATCTCCAAGAGATCCACGGTAACGTTGGGACAGACCTGTTTTTTTAAGTTACCCTAAGGCCCCAAAGTAGTTCCTTCCTGGGGTTCGTATATAGAATCTTATAAGTTTATCCCAAAAAGGAACTGCTTTGGGGCCTATGGGTAAGTTGACGGCCTTCTTTGTGCGCCTGCCCAAGTCGGCTCCTTTCTAGGCTTCCGTAACTGCATAGACCTGGTTTTAGGGTGTAGGTTTACGATATAGGGTTTAGGGTTTAGGGTTTAGGGTTTAGGGTTTAGGGTTTAGGGTTTAGGGTTTACGATATAGGGGTTTACGGTCTATGTAATTACAGTGTAAGAGTTTAGGGTTCGGTAATATAGGGACCTGAATAAGTATCAATACTATTTTGGGGTGTTCCTGATAGTATAATGGGCAGCATTCAAGAGGGTCTCTGCACCCTCTGCGTATTTCGGGCACATGGTCGTAAGGCGTCGTAAGGTCTAGGTCTGGGGTTTTGGTTGAGGTGCGGGGTCTAGGGCTGTACATAGGCCTGTGTAATGGGATGCCAGGGGATTCTGCTTTAGAGTCTACGCTTGAGGGCTTGGGGCTTACAAGGGAGATGCCCACACATATCAACAAGAACAAGTCGGGAGTTCAGAGGTTTGTCGCCTGAAGTTGACGGTGGCAAGCATAGGCACACAATGCAGTATGCACCCTGAACCCTAAACCCTAAGTGTAGAGAGGTGTTCCAAAAGTCTTGAAAGAAACCCCGGTAACGAAGGTAAGCCAAAAACGTTCTCAACATCGATACCGCTTAGAGCCTTGGAAAGGCCGCCAAGGCCAAGCCTTACTACTTAGACTAGTTTCTGGGTATACCAGAGTATAACTTTCCACAGGGACTACAAGGAGGACAGTATTCGTGATGAGCTTGACTTCCGTGCCTGCACGCCCACGTCGGCACCGTGGAGTTGCGTCTCACAGAGAGGCGCCCACCTTTGAAGTCCCGATTCTGAGGGCTTTCTCGTGTTGCATACGGGGCCAATACAGCTTTCGAGGCTTCTATGTAGGGTTTAGGGTTTGGCATTTGGGGTAGGGGTCAAAATTATGGTCCCTTTTTGGGTGCCCTAAATACTAGTTACTAGTTGAGGTATTCAATTAAGGACCCAAGGGACCGTATTTTTGTCAACCACCCATTTAGGATCGGGGTTTGGAGTTTTCGATCTGAAAGTTCTAGGCTTCAAGACTGGATGGGGGTTCTGTGGGCTTCGGGGATAAGGGTTCTGATCTCAAGCTTTTCGAGTTCAACAGTACTGCCAGGTCTTGTTCTGACATTCTCTGCCCCTGCCATACTCCTTACATAATACGGCTCCAAAACGTTGCCCCACAGACAATCTCAAGCCATAGAACGAAGGCGGTTTCTTCTTCCGTGGTCTACAGCCATGTGAGGCACTCCACTGATGAAAGAAGCCAGAACCAAAAGCAACTACCTCCATGCGCTGTGGAAATAACAATGTAAAAGATAAATTGGGATCAGGGGACCTGCTGAACAGGCTCAACGACTCCATTGTTTTCGGTGTACTGGCTGACTCTACCTGAACACTTCTAGGTCCCTTGAGCCTCTCATTATTGGATCCGCATGTCCACGCTATTTTAAGGAGGAGGTACTTCCTTCGTTGAACCCTTCGAAAACCCCGAAATGGGAGCTTCCAGAAAATAGAGGACCCGAATATAGCACCCTAAATAGCAGGGTCCCTATTATAAGGATCCCAAAATAAGGCACCCCTAATTGTATTGAAACTTTCTGGGTCTCGGACACGATGTCGGTGCGGGGGGTAAGAGGCAGCACCGTACCAAAAGGTGCACCGACCCCTGGCGAGAATGGGAAGTTTTGTAGAGTTATGCGAGGGTACTATCGAGTGTCGTGACTTGTGCCAGCGGTTCTGATGTGTTTGACACGACGTTGACAACAGCTGTCAGCAGGATCAAAGACTGAATGCCACATTGCTTGCGTAGAGGTTCGATTGTTACCCACCAGCACCTTGATCTTCTGGTGCCATCATGCTGCACTATCGAATGCATAGCGCATAGAAACGGCACTACAACAGAATGAATCCAAGCACCTGCGCCTGACTAGAATCCTATGTGCTCGGACACAGAATCTTTGACCATTCGACCGTCGAAACAACATATCAACATCAACAACATCTGAACCTCAAAACCCAAACCCTGAGGGTCCATGTACCCATATAGAGATACATGAGCCCCAAAGTACCTATATGGGGACTACATTAAGGCCAATGTATATAATATGAGCACATGGACCCTTAGTATAAACTCGAAAGGTGAACCTTCAAGCTTCGAACAAGCCTAAGGATATGGACCGGGCGCACAGCGAGAGACCTTACTAGTTTAGGGTTTAGGGTTTGGAGAGACCTTGCTTGTTCAGGATTTAGGGTTCAGAGAGACCTTACTAGTTTAGGGTTTAGGGTGACCTTACGGGAAGCAAGACAGCCGTCAGCGAATAGGCCTGTCAGCGTGCCATCGGCATCCTGGAACAGCAGCTGGTCCAGGCCTGCGAACACAGGAGGAATATGTATGTGTGCGTGTATATATATATATATATATATATATATATATATATATATATATATACATATACACATGTATATCCAACCATCCAACCATCCAACCATCCAACCATCCAACCATCCATCCATCCATCCATCCATCCATCCCTCGCTCCAGCCATCCATACATAAGTACATACATACTTACATACATACGTACATCGGTACTTATGTACAACAAAGCTTGAGCAGCTCGAACTGATATTGGATGGGTTTGCTGTACCCAAACTGCGGAACTGTACTAGTACCTCCCTGTATTACTTCACGGTTTCCGATTGGAGGGTGTAAGGCGTACAGATGAGGACAGGGGGTTTAGAGTACAATAGTGATCATTAATCTTCACAAGGTGAGGGAATTAGCCTGTGATTGGTCGTAAACCCTTAGCTGCCGACTGAGCCTAGAAAAGAAACGAACGCCGTTAAACCAACCAAATCTATCAAATCTCAAAAGCCGAAGACCAGGTGGTCTTACCGCACACGCAGAGCCCATCATGGTCCCACATCTCGCCGGACGGCTCGTGCAGCATACCCCTGACGCTGGACTCTTCATTGCCCTGCGAGGCATCGAGCCGAAGGGAGCCCATGACCTCCTCGCCTGCCGCGATCTTACCTTACCGACGGTACCCAAAACCGTAAAACCCCAAACTCCCCAATGGGGAGTTTCCGAAAATGGGGGACCCCAGTATAGTATCCTAAATAGTAGGATCCTTGTTATAAGGACCCCAAAATAAGGTACCCCGAATTTTCGGAAACTCTCAAATCCTGCAAACCCTGAGTTCCCGACCCATGCAACCACCGCCGCTGCTCTTGCACGGGCTCGCACGGGCTTTGTATGCCTCGGCTGCGGCTTGTGAGGATCTCGAGGCTCCTTCGACACCGTAGCTACGGCTTCTATAAGGGTGCTTAGTCATGTAGGGAGGTTCTGTAAGGGTTTCATAGGGGTTCTATGTTGGATTTGGGATTTAGGGCTTGGATCGGTTTACGGTCCCTGAGTCATAGCGCGGCAGTATCCGTTTTCCGACTAGTCAGTGTCACCAACGAAGGAAGCCCCGAATTATTAAAAGGTCCTTATGTTAGAATCATTACCCAAAGGGTCCAAGCATCATTATGGTCTATACTTATAGGGTATTTTGGGGGTCCAAGAATACCATAATTGACCACAATGATACTTGGACCCTTTGGGTTAGCTTCTTGCTTCCGGACCTAGGCTTTACGGATTTAGAGATTCAGGCTTTCGGGTTTCGGGGTTTCTGGTGTCAGCCGGCTTCTCCTCTGACTTTCGTCGAGCTTTTCTCGAATTAAGTCTCAACCTCAACCCCCACTTCAAAAGAACAAGTCCAAAACGCTAAACCCATAAAGCCCGAAACACCCAAACACCGAAACTCCATACCACCCAAAACCGCTACCAAACATCTGAAGCCCTGCCACCCATGAACTCCTAGCAGCCTACACTAACCCCCCCCACCCCCAGACAACCGTTCAACCCCTGTACGACTAGCTGGGCACGGTACTTCACTTGCGAAAACCCTCGCCACAGTCCTGGCAGGCCTTTTTCAAACAGTTGGAGACAGCTCATAAGTCCTCGGGCTGCCAGAAACAAGCGGAGGCACCCTCGCGGCTCTTTACGTAGAACTCCGCTAGAGAGTTGTCACAAGTGTGACCGCTTTAACTTTGCTCCTCTTCAAGGGCAGAGTCACGAACGAGGCCCAAACGCCCTCGTTCAGGGACTTTATCTGCCGTCTTCCGCCGTGCTTTGCCTCCTCCAGGCAGATCAACTTGTGCATCCAGAGCCTGCTCGCGATGAGCTTCATGTATTGTCTCTTTTCGGAAGAAGCAAGGAGGTCGGCTGGGACCACGAGGCACACTAAAGCCTCGAACTCCTCCCTACATCCCAAACCCTACACCATCCGGCCCAAGCTGTAGCATCAACCCTAATAAATACTCAAAGGGGAAAAGGAGGGACCCTTAATGGGGACCCCTACCCTATAATGGGCTATATAATGGGTATATAACAGCTGTATTAAGGGTATATACCTTGGGTTTACCCTTGGATATACCACATACCGCCAGTTCCGGCACCTGCGGCCGTACTTTATCGTTTCGACCTGCTAGTCCCTCCCCACCAACATCCCGAAACCTCAACCCCAGATCCGCAAGCTCCAAACCTACTATTTGCTTAAGAACCCCCCCCAAAAAAAATTAAATTCCTTATGGGGGTATTATAGGGATTACTATTCTTATTTTTTGGGGGTTTCTTAAGCAAATAGTAGCTAAACCCAGGCCCAGAATCCCTAGTGACCCTTCTAGGCCCTAGGCTATACTAGATACCCCGACCTTAGACCCTAAACCTTCAGCCCAGGTCCCTGAGCTCTAAACCCTAAACCCCATAGGCCCTAAACTCCGAACTCCTAATCTAGGTGTGGCTTTTAAAGCCTTTGAAAAATATTAGTAAAGAAGGTCCTCTTAAGCCCAATAAGGGGAAATATAAAATGTCCCAAAGCCCTGCCTTGTAATAGAAGCCCATTACAGGTGCGTAGTTCCTCTTCCATAGTACTCCCATAAGACCCCTTTACCTTATAGGTATGGGAGGCTTATGGGAAACTACCCACCTAATAACTACCCACCTGTAGATGGCTTAGACCTAAACCCTAAACCGACAAACCCGTAGACCCGTGAACCCCCAAACCTCAAACCCTCTAACCCCTAAGCTCCTTCAGCCTCAAACCCAGATCCCTAAACCCCTAAACTCCTGAACCCCTAAACCCAAACCCCCATAAACCCTAACCCCTAAGCCCCTTAAGGTCTAAAACCAGATCCCTAAACTCCAAAACTCCGAGAACCGACTCCTAAAGCTCCGCTTCAAGCGCCCGGCATCGTCCAAGGCTTCCGTGCTCAGCTCGAAGCGGGCGCCAGGGTCCGACTGTGCAGCTTTCTAGGTTTAGGGGGGCTTAAGGGTTTAGTCTTTAAGGGTTTAGGGTTTAGTAGAGTTTAGGGTCTACAATTTAGAGTTTAAGGTTTAGGGTTTAGGGATGAGGGTGTAGGGGTTCATGGTACTATGCAGTTTTCAGGCTTTCTGGGGTTTGGGGTTGATACTGTCGATGGACAAAATCCTGCATGACCCTAAGGACTCTAAACTATGGGAACTATGGTATATTCCTTCTTATGGGTAATGCAGGATATTAACTTTGTGTTTCGGCTTACTTTCTACAAGTTTGGTGTTTCAGGTTTCGACTGGTTGTACGGTGCTTCAGGTACAGTAGACCCAGCACAATGGCTTCCGTACTGTTGTTCAGGCATGGGAGCTTCAACAAATCTAGAAACTCTGACATCAACTCATACCTGTAAGATGCTTATCATGAGGAGCCCTAAAGCAGCTACCGTGAGTTCTCTTCAAGCCTTAGCACATTTGGTTTGGCTTAGGCGGGTCTCTGATTCCTGGGGCATTCACTCAAGTTTGTTGTGCTTTAAGGCTTTTCTTGGTAGGGACAAGCGCTTCGGTTATCGAGTCTACAACACGCTGTAAACCCTAAACCCTAAACCCAAAAACCCTAAACCCTAAACCCTAAACCCTAAACGAAATTCGATATCAAAGAACACGTGCAACCTGCTTGCCGCACCTGGTACCAGGTCGTGCGTGTGAATGTGGCAGGGAAGTTCACCTGGCTCAGCGAGGGTTTATGGTGCAGGGCCTGGGATTTAGTTACTACAGGGCCTAATTTTTCCCAATGCTATTTTATGTTGCGGAGTTCTTTACGATAGAAATCCATAATGGGTCACCAAAGACAGGTTTTAGGATACGGCGGCCTGCTCGTGTCTAGGTGTGCTATCTCGCCCAGATGCTTCCACTTCTGTGACACATAAAAAAGGCGAACCCGAAACGGTGAATACCACCAGTTAGCTAATCAATAAGGAAACCTCATTGACAAGCAGTGGGGCAACCGCCCATCTAAATCTATACCTCGAAGTCAAACACATATTCCTTAATCGCGGCAGCCGCGCGCCCACAGATCAAACTTTAATACTCCTTGACTAAATATTTGATACCGATGGCTGCCTTCTCAGCTGCTTAGCTGAACTGCCCATTCAAGCTTCTAAGCCGAGGATTGAAAATGAGCCCGAATGTAAGAGCCGATTGAGCATGGTGCCTGCAGCTCTTCCGTCGCCTTAGCCCCAGACGCTCTGAACCGACAAAACAACACACGACACCCCAAGAAGCCGCGAGCCGGATTGAGGCCATAGAAAGCTCTGCAAAACCGTTGAAGTCATCGTAGAATCCCGACCCCCGGAAAGGCCTCTGCACCCCAAAGGTTCGGTGCGATCGCTCGATCCCTCGGAAGCTGCCGATTCTGGGGTCTTCGAACTTTGGGCCATAGTGTTTTGGGAGCTAGGGTTCAGGGTCTTAGGGTTAGGTCTACATAGAACTTTTTGGATTTAAGGTTTAGGGTCTTGGGGTCTTTGTGGGAGCTGGGGTTTAGGGTTTGGGGATTTGAGGGTTCAGGATTTTGGGATGTAGGAAAATTGAGTTTGCTGTCCTTGGGTTTGGGGAGTTGGCATGCTGTAGGGTTCTGCGCTTTGCTAGGTTTGGGGCATTTGGCTTTGTTGTTGAGGGTTGTGGGAGTGGAGTTTTTGGTGCTCCGAGTTTAGAGATGCTTTGGGTTTAGGATTTCTGAGCTTGGGGTTTCGGGGTTTTGGGGCGAAAGCTCTGGTCTTGCGGGGCTTGGCCTTTGCGTTCTACTAAGTGGGCTCTCATTGCGACCCTTCGAATCTTTGAGAAGGTTTGAGGTTTCAGGAAATAGAAGTTTTTGCGAGGACCATGTCCTCAATAATTGTCGTCACACCACTCTCACTGCGAACATGCAATTACGTATCAAACTTTACTCCTATAAGCCGTAAGCCAAGTAGATCATTATGCTGAACCGATCGATACTAGCAAAGCCATTTGCCCTGTGAGTGGTGGCTGGTGCAGAATAAAGGCATACACACTCCCATGATTGCAGCAAATTACGGTGTCTCGGTCTAAGTTTTTCTGCTGGCCCGGAACCTGAAGCTAAACCGTACATTCCTGCACCTCTAGACCCTAACCCTAACCCATTAAACCCTTCGGGTCGTGTTAACCCCAGGGCTGGGAATCCAACGTCATATACCCAAATAGTATATACTTTGGGCCCAATGTATCTATAATGGGGAGTACTTTAAGGCCAAAGTATATGCAATTTGGGTACATGGACCCTTTGGGATCCTAAACCCTAAACCCTAAACCGGGCATCCAGCGTCATGCCACAGTCATCACTCTTCCAGTACGCGAAGGTCGTATCCTCGAAGTAGGTCCAGCCTCGGCTCGGCCAGGGCTTGCTGGCCTACCTTCGCAGGGTTCTTTATTCTGATTTCTATATATATATATATATATATATATATATATAGTATGTATGTATGTATATATATATATATATATATGTGTGTGTGTGTGTGTATGTATGTGTATATGCATACGTCTGTAACCCTGCAAGGTTACTCAACTCTAGGGAGTGCCTGCCTCATGGGTCAAGAATCGACTAAGGTCTAGGGCTTCAGGGTTCACAAGAAGTCGCTGGGTTAGTGTATTGGGCTGTTGGGCTACTCAAGCTCGTAGGACATGAGCCCCGGGTTGAAGACCCATCCTGGGTTCTTGTCAGGGAAGCTAAGTTTCGTTATCATTATAGGGATCTACAGTAAATGATATGGGTCCTTTTTTATGGTAACTGGAATTATGGTAACTGGGATTACATCCTTTAACAAGAACCCAGTCTCATCGGTATAAATCTTTCTCCAGACCTTTCTAGCGCCCAGACAACATAACCTCTATGAACACGGCCCCTCTCGTATGAACTGACAGTAACAGTAACACTTGTTGAGAGTCATCTAAGCGCACCACTTAAACCCTAAATCCAAAGCCCTGGCCCTAAATCCCAGGCCGGCCGCCGGTATACGGGTACTGTACGCTCGACAAACCAGGCCCTCACCATCCACCCTTAACCCTAAGATACACTCTGAGCCTACAGCTCCCTGACACAAAAACGAAACCCTAAACACTGCCAAAACAACCTCAAAACCAAAACCCTAAACCCTAAAACCCTAAACACTGCCAAAACAACCTCAACCCCGGGACTCGGGAATCTGGGAATGCGACCCAGGCCCTTCTGCATGTGGATATCCTGGGAGACTTCAATTTGGGAGCTTCCGAAATTGGGGGGGGTCCCTTTTTATATGGACCCCACTATTTAGGTCTATATTTGGGTCCCCTAAAACTCCCATTTAAAGGTTTAGTTAGGGAGAGAGTCGTTCCCCGGCTGTTTGCTTCTCCCTTCTGCTTGGTATAGGTCCTAAAACTCCATGTGCCCATATAGTAGGTACTTTGGCCTTAAAAGGGTGCCTGTATAGGTACTTTACGTTCAAAGTAACCACTACAGGGAACTCCAGAAAGTTGGAATATGGTTTCATGGTAGGATACCCTATAATTTACCATAGAAGGGGTTAGGATAATCATATTCCAACTTTCTGGCTTTTACCTAAACCCCTAAACCCTAAACCCTAAACCCCTGAACCCTAAACTTTCTGGCTTTTACCTTATATGGGTACATGGAGCCTTTGGGAGGTGCGTATGTGGTGCACAACCTTTACGAGTACTTGGAGGGTCGGGGGGCTTAGTAAGTAGGTAGTAAGTAGACTTCTAAGTACCCTACAAGGGACCCTAATCGGGGTTATGGTACTTATAAGTCCCTAAAACAACCAGTTGCTAAGTCCCCCGACCCTCCAAGTACTCATTGTGAAGAAGGAGACCCCGCGCCATAAACCGACAAGAAAGTAAATACTGTGGGGCTTAGCACAAAAGGGTCTAAAGGTCCGGGGCTTGAGAATTTTGGAAGCTTCCGGTTGTTCATGGATCGAGGGCTTTGGATTTAGGGTTAACGGATGGAGGGCTCTAGGGTGCAGAATCAACGGCCTGGCTGTCGCGAAAGTGGCTTTACAGTAAAGCTATGTATCTATGAGGATTGCCACAGCAACTAATTAGTCTGACATCTACATTGCTGTTATTGCTTGGACACTTGGGGTTGCCTCGGGCTGAAGATGCTATTCGACACCTGAGGTTGACTAAGATTGCTTGGGCGTCAGGGCGATGATTGATCAGAAGAAAACGTGGGCCTGGAAAGGCGGAATATGGTCGTAAGGTACATTACACATAGGATGTATAGTGGACTATTAGGTTTAGTGTTTAAGGTTTGGGGTTTAAGGTAGACATCCCTACTAGACACTCTGGAATACTCAGGCCGTCCTCAATCGAGTTTAGGGTGTATGTATGTATATATATATATATATATATATATAATATATATATATATAGTATACATATACAGGAAGAGAGAGAGAGAGAGAGAGAGAGAGAGAGAGAGAGAGAGAGAGAGAGAGAGAGAGATTAGGCCATCCTTGCACTCTGCAAGCACTCAGGGGCTTTGGTTCTTAAGCTTGGGAGCTTCGGGCTTCGGTGCCTGGTTTCAACCGCTTGGGGTTTAGGGTTTAGGGGTTCAGGGGGTTCGGGGTTTAGGGGTTTAGGACTTGGGGTTTAGGGGTTTCGGGGTTTAGGGGTTTAGGACTTAGGGTTTAGGGGTTTCGGGGTTTAGGATTTGAGATTCAAGCGATCGAAACGCCTGCTTTGCATTTTACTCGCCAGTCGTGCCTTGCTCTTGAATGCCTGATCCCTGGTTCTGTCAATCAAGCTCATCATGCCCGTTGATACTGTTGATGGACAAAATCCTGCATGACCCTAAGGACTCTAACGTATGGGAACTATGGCATATTCCCTATAATGGGTAATGCAGGATTTTGTCCATCAGCAGTATTGCTAGTGAGCGCAAGCGAGTAGAATCCTACCTCCCGAAACCACAAGACGACCAAACCTCTCCCACAACCCTTGCACATTCTCGTACCCTATGATGATCTCAACCCTACATCCCCCAAGGCCCTTTCCAAGGTCCCAACAATCTCCCATGGCTGGTGGCACGGAGTCAACGTAGGCTGCCTTGCATGTCAGCTACCCCCCCCCCCCCCCCAATTGAAAACATCCAGCTTCTGCTGCTGCTCCTCCACATTTGCTAGTGCTATTGCTAGCGATACGAGCACTGCGTGTAAGCACGACAACTACCATCACCTAGCACTGCCACTGATGCTACCACTACAAGCTCGCAACTGCGACTACCCCGACGACGAAGCCGATGGTGCCGTTGCCACGACGACAAATCTAACAAGGATCGGTCCCTCTAGATAGATGCATGAAACAAACCCCACACTGCCCCCCAAAAACCCTAAACCCCTAAACCCCCAAAACTCTCAACCCTAACTAAAGGCCCGACACCCAAACCGTAAACCTGTCCCAAACATCGCCAGGCCCTAAAGTGGCCAGGTTGCGCGGGAGACATCAGGCGGCACTGGTAGGCCGGCTTCGTGGCCCAGCAGCTCCTTGATAGCATGTATAAAATTAGGGGTACCTTAATGGGATCCATAAAGGTTCCTTAAAGGAATCTACAAGGGCGCCCCAAAAAGTTGGTGTAGGGTTTAGGGTAAATACGGCATGGCTGCTTTGCGAAGCATGACAATCTAAGCCGCCAAAGCTCAGGTGCGGAAGTATGCAAGCTACGGGTTTTGGGCTTGGGATGAACTAGGGTCCGAAACCGCTTTGACCGTGCATACAAATCGCTAGCTTCGTCTGTGCCGTGCATGTGGCTATTCTGCCAGGGTCAGGAAGCACAAGATCTGGGCTTAGTACAAGTCCTGGGATTCAGACAACCCCGAACCAGAACATGCTGCAAAGCAGACATGTCGGGTTGAACCGAATCCTACCCCCTGAAGGCCGAATGCTTAGGGAACATTGCGAGGCCCTACTCCTGGAAGCCCCTGCCATGTGGGATTGAAACTCCGGCGCGGTTGTGCCAGACCAGCATCAGGGAATTCGGGAACCCTTGTCCTTTTAGAAACAATAGACAGAGCCCTATACCTATATCCCTTAGTAGGAATTGTTTAAGAAGGTCTACTAGCCGGTCTGCTTATTCGTTTGGGGGAACCATGCAAAAGGACAAGGCTGTGTCTTGAATTAGGAATGGAGTCGAGCAGTCGAGCCGGCACAGTCTGGGTCGCCGATGGCCACAGCATCGAAATGCACCGGCACAAAACAGAAACTTCACCAGTAAAGACTGTAAACCCTACGGCCTTTGCGCCGAAACCCTTAGTCCCGTCATGCCAATGCAGATCCCTAAGGGTCCGAGTACCTAATTATCATATACTCTCCAAAGTAGTAGCCTACACAACTACTATCCTAAACCCAAGTACCTAATCTAGGATGCCCAGTAACCTAGGAATAAAAAGGGCTCCCTTTTTGATATTGGGTAACTTTATAAGGAACCTAGGACTACTAAAAGGGAACAAGGGTACTACTGGGCATCCTAGCCCCTAATTTTCGGAAACCCTAAACCCTTTATAGAACCCTTATAGATCCCTTTAAGGAACCCTTATAGATCCCTTTAAGGAACCCTTATAGACCCCTTTAAGTATGTATTTGGTCCAAAGGACACTTAGGGGTTGGCCTTAGCCCGAAGCTAGTCTGAAACCCGAAACCAGGCACTGCAAGAAACCACTGAAAGCAGCAGAAGCCTCTTTCTTGCACTACATAACGATATAGATACACCTGCACTCAGATTATGGATGATTCAACCGGGACTTCCACAAGACCTTATTGAACTAATTTCGGGACCTCAATAATAAGCAGAAGCCACAGGCTAGCAGGAGTCCTCGCCCCTGCAGCCGCTGTCCTAGCCCCTACAGCCGCTGCTAAGGGCAGCGCTTTCGGTTCTTCGTCTGGATTGGCGTCACGAACCTGAGGAGTGCGGTTGATGACGGGCTATTGCAAAGATTACGATGACGATGCTGACATCGATGATAATGCTTGTGATCTGGCTTTTGATGTAAGTCTTATCATCAGTGTCCCAGACTTCTGGGATTGGGGGGGCCGCCTGTGTGAATCGAGATCGTCGTAGCATTATACTGCACGACACCTTCTGTCTTGGACCTGCAACACAAGCCTTAATCAATCACGTGCCCTGCGCCGCTTGGCACCATTGTAGGTGTCGTGTCCCCACCAGAGTCTTTTCTTCTAAGATACTAACCATGGTACTGGTGGTTCACCCACGAAAGATACAAGAGGCGATGTGTAACTCCAAGCGGGACTGAAGATATACACGTCCTGGTACTAGGTAACCCGCACAGCCCCGAACCCTGAACAGTAACCTGCAGGCCCCAAAAACATCATAGAATCTGAAACCCGCATCGACAAGGACCAACTTTATTTCCAAATGCAACCCCTTCTAAATCGTTGTTGCAATCAAATCCGGAAAAGTCCGACAAATGATAAAACACGTTAAAACGTTGCATCAGCAAAGCCTGATATGAACAAGAACAAATGACTGAATGTGATCCGAAGAGCCTATATCCACAAATGTCCCAACGACAACGCTAGGGCCAAATGTAGTAAGCATTCCGAAACCATAGAGAAGCTATTATTTGTAACCCGGTGTAGCGTAACACCCCGAAGCAGTGACACTGCAGACGCACTTAGGCTTCGGCTTTAGGTTTGTAATACATAGCATTCTGGAGGCAGCCAAGATTGCGGGGGTGCTGCCAACGCCTGCTGGCTGTTTAGATAAATGAAGCCGCCTTCTTGTGGTTAAAAGGCTACAGCCTCAGCTTTAGACACACGCATGCGCGGCCAGAAGGTTTGCCCGATGTCCAGGGCAGCGCGGTAAAGTGCAAACAGGCCAAGCAAACGCTTCAGTGGAAGCAGCAGTCGGCAGGCAGCCTGGACGATTGCGAAATCAGTTGGCGCGCGCAGTGGGGGGAGCGGTCCAGGAGAAGAGGAGGAAAGCAGTCCTTGTTGATACTGTCCTGTTCGGATGTGATCAGGGCCACCTGCTGCTTCACCATCATCTTACCTTTGGTTAGTAGGAAATGGAAGAACAGTAGTAGTAGTTATAATTGTACCCCATTCCTCCATTCCCTAATAACCAAAGGTAAGCATCATCTTGCACTGCCCAAGTCTTGCCCACCCGCTTCGATCCTATGTCCATGGGCTCAGGAGCAATGCTTCCACGATCGTTGCAAGTCCTTGCTGCAACATGTCCCGGAAGCCGGCAAGCTAAATGCTCAAAACCAAAGGGTCCAAGTAATATTATAGTATATACTTTGGGGGCCCAAACATCTACTAAGTACCTTGGTGCTGTAAGGTTACTTGGACCCTGTGGGAAAGACTGGAAAGCCTCTTGTGCCGAAGCGGGGCCTTTTGTGTTCACATACCTCCAAGCCTTTCAGGTTTCCGGGAACGAAATGTGGCTGTATGGTCCCTAGAAATATGTCTCTTAGAGACTCTCCGAAAACCCTTTACGGACCGCGAAACCCTAAGGACCCAGCAAGAAACCCTCTGCTGACCAAAGGCTTGCCTAAAGGGCAGGCGGGTAGGGCGGAGGGGGCCGGGGGGGTAGGGGACTATACTTCCTTAAATAAGCCGTATTAAGTCCTTCTCATGGCTACAAAGGCCCCTTACTCCTCTCCTCCCCACCCCCCTAAGGGTCCTTACGGGAAACCCGAGCTGAATCACTGAGGTCACGACCCCACACGGCGGAATCCCGCGTTCATCCACATGGAGGAGCCTGGGGAATCTTTTGTTTAGGTCGTGGTGACTCGTAAACTAGACCCAAGAGTAACCTAGGATTAAAAAAGGTGCCCTTTTTGGTTTAAAGGGGCTTATAAGGGAACCTGAACCCTAAACAAAGGAATAAGGGCCTACTCTAGGTCCTAGTAAAGTTCATGGTTGAGGGCTTAGGGTTTGCTGATTGGTTGTTGGTCTTATAGGGTTTCCTACAGCATCCACGTACCGCCACACGAAACAATAGGATCATATGTACATCCCTGGTTTTTAAACCACCCCTGCGTTAGAGTTCGTGGGCATCAAGCAGGTTTCTCGTCCGCCTACTTTTGACCCTCTCGGCCAGTAGAGAAGCAGGTCAGCCGTGAGCCAACCTCGCCAGGATGCACCATGTACTCGCCGATGTGCAGGGCATGAGGCCAGCTAGCGGCTAGCGGCTAGCGTGTTCGTCATCAGTGTCGTAGTCAGAACAGATGATGTAGCGGGGTCTGGCTGGCCGCGCCGCTCATCATCAATCATCAGCTCAAATATGACTGCCTGGTTCTTAGTACGGAATGGGGAATCGATCCCTATAGTTAGTAGCCCCTAAATAATCCGCAAGAATAGTCCCCATAACGCCTTCCCCCATTCCCTATAAAGAACCAGAAAGATGATTACATCCGGGCTTTGTCCTCAGAGCTGCGACAAGGTATATGGTCACTCCTCAGCTTTTGCCTCCGGCATACAGGTTACCGCAGCTCGCAAGGAGGAATGCTCAGTTTGCCATGGGAGGCTGTGTACCAGGAAGTCGCCCTGCATGGAGCACATCGGAAGATGCAGTTGCCATGTCTGCTACCAGACTTGGAAGAAGGCGGGCAAGCCGAAGGGCAAGGGCAAGGGCAAGGGCGCCCTTGCGTTACCTGAATATTCACTATCTCCCTTCCCTGATCCTGTTTCCTTGCCCTTAAAAAAAGGTGTCTGCAGCATGAACCAGGCGTGAATCATTTCTTATGCCTCCCGAGATTCCGATGTTTGGCCAGGAAGCATTTTTTGAAGGACCGAATGCGGAGATGTGTAGAGGTGCATCGGTTCTGGTAGTAGGTATCGAGTCTCAGGAATCAGCAAAGTCAGTAATGTTCCGGGTTTTGGTATGAGGAAGCGGCTCCCCATGAAACTGGCTTTGTCTCCTGCAGTACCTATATATAAGCCCGGCATACAGCCCTCGCCAACCCTGCAAGGCACTGAACACTCTTACTTATAGGACCTTCGCAACCCCAAGAAGAACCCAAAACCCTACACCCTAAACCCTTAACCCAAATCCTAGAAAACCCTAAACCCTAAGCCGAATCAAGATGCCTCAGCAACGCTAGTCGCTGATTCAGGGTGTCCAGTCTCGGGCTTATCATAGGGATATTTTGCGGGGTAAGGGGGGCTATACTTCCTTAACGAAGCCTTACCAGGTCCTTATTATGCGAATGCAGGCCCCCTACCCCCCCTCCCCCTGTGGGTCCTACACCAGGTTGATGGTCAACCGAAAGTTCACGGTAGGCGTCTATGTGAACATTAAGTTCTGTCGCCGAACCTGAAAGCCTCATAACCCTAAATCCCTGAAGCCTTCAGAGCTCGAAGCCTAGGGTTTATAACGCCTGTTGTTTAGGTTCATGGTTTAAGCCACCTTTGGGAGGCTTTGTGCCTTAAGATGGCTTAAGCAGTCTGTGCGGTCCCAAGAGCAACCGTCCGCATAGGGATCTGTGATCGTCTGCGTTCGGCAGTGGGCCGAGCGATCACCTTGGGCTCTGCGGCTTCACGGCTTACTTACTACTTACCCCTGTTAGGGTAAGCGTGTTTATTGACCTATCAAGCAATGTCGGTTAAATGCTATTGTTGTTAGGACTATATTATATATATATATATATATATATATATATATATATATATATATATTATATGTATCTATACTTAAAGGATCAGCGACAAACAAAGTAGGTTACAAGTAAGGTTTGGGAACTATACGCTTTCTCGAAATGTAACCTCATTGATAGGATTAGGGAGTTTGGGGCTTAAGGTTCAGGGGTTTGAGGTTCTTGGGATTTGGGGGCTGGGGGCTTGGGGTTTCGGGGTTGAAGAGGATTGGCCTGGTGGTTTTGTGCTTCCGCGAGGGGGAGGTTCAAGGCACATGAATTACGTTCTTAACTACTGGTGTCCCCAACATAAGACACAACAATAAGCGTACGCACACGAAGTGTCCGAAGGAGGAGCCGTGGATACACTCACCATAACCACTGTACTAGACCCTAGTTGGCATTCTGGGTGACAAACGCTCTCTGAAGGTGGAGAAAACACACCTTACTTGCATTTCTTATACTCGGACTTCAAGCTCCTAGTGGCTTTGATATCATACTTTGCCCTGAACCCTAAACCTAAATCCCAAAGTTTAGGGCTTAGTCTTTACGATGCGCGCATGTAGGAAGTGAGCTGGGAATCTCTATTTAGCACAGCCCCAGACCCTAAACCTCTGAAAACCCCTAACCTTGACCTACTGCTGATGGACAACATCCTGCATTACCCAGAATAAGGAATAATCATACCATAATTCCCATAGTTTAGAGTCCTTAGGGTCATGCAGGATTTTGTCCATCAACAGTAAAACCCGGAATCCGCCAGAAGAGCCACACTGCACTTAGCCTCAGACAGTTCGTGCCAGCAGGCGAGGTCCCGATGAACGTCATGTTGTTCAGATACAGTCGCCTGAAACCGCTGTAGAAACAAGGTCAGGAAAACATCTCATTGCTATGTTGCTATTATTGTTCTTTGTCGTTAGCTGTATTTTCAGTGATATAGTTCTAGTGTTACTGCCTGAAAGTAAGCGGACTGAAGGAGGGGCTCAGGACCTTGGAACCGTCATCAAGCCCGGTTCCTAGTAGGGAATGGGGGCATGGATTATGGGACTGCTATTGGGGATTATATAAGGGACTACTATAGGGATCCATTCCCCCGTTCCCTACTAAGAACCAGACAGACTAACACTGAGTCAAACTTAGTTCTAAATCAAGAGTTCCCGACATCGCAGCCGGTTGGTACCCCGCCTGAAAGCAGATCCCACGCTCATGTATGGAATGATGCCTTGCGGAACGGCGGCTGGGATTCAGGGTGGGTTGTGGCTTCGGGGTTTCGGGTCTAGCTCAGCAGTCTAAAACTCAAAGTTTCGGGTTCTATACGGGAGTTTCCGAAACTTAGGGCTACCTTAGTTTGGGGTCCTTATAATAAGGATCCTACTAAGGTACTATATTAGGATCCCCTATTTTCGTAAACTCCCATTTAGGGTTGAAGCCAATCCCGAGAATTCGAGCATTGCTATATATGGGGCTCTCCTTAATGGCATCAAGACTTTCTGCTTCCTGCCACGTCCTTCTTTCAGCATCCTCTAACACCATAGAATGTTTGATCAAGGGCAAGCATACCCGTTCCTGGGTATATGCTTTAGGGCCTTTAGGGTGTTCGGTCAGGATCGTGTTACAGAGATTCGATACTTATTGCGACATTCGTCAACTCCCCCTCCGGCCATACCAGTGTTCTTCCGTAGTCTCCTGATCAGAATGCCCCCTCTCAATACGCAGGAAGCGCAGCTGTTGTTTTGCAGGCAACAAGGTTATTTGTACTCGACGGCGAACGGCTCCTGAACCCTAAAAATTACCCAGAGCCCTGACACCCCTAAACCCTGGAGCCCTAAAGCCCAATGATTGTGCACAGCACCAGATCCCCGAAATACAACTCCAGGACATAGATGCGAGTGCCACATTGCAAATGGGCTTCCGGCCGTTGTGCGCATCGGAAATGACCTCAGACAATTCTGGTTTAGGTTTGGGCAGCGGGCAGGTGAGCAGAGAAGCCTGAATAAGCAGAATAGGATTTGTTTTGGTATACTACACAAGTACACGGTCACTATACGGCCACTATGCGGGGATATTGAAATACTGGTGACAATTCAGAACCCAAGAATAGTAATAGTGGAGAAGTTGAAGATCCTCAGACTCGCCTGAAGATTACTTCCTACACAGTTCAACTGAATGGTAGGATCCTGGAGGAGATATAAACCCTCGAAACCTACACCTTGAGAACTAAAAACCCTCAAACACCTAACTCCCCTACACCACCATGTTATAAACTTGTGTCACTGCTTTCTTGGGATGTCACTGGGTGGTTATGGGCTTTGTCTGGGGCTTGTATGGGGGCTGGTGTTGTTTCGTGGGGTTCTTGTAGGCTGATAAGTTGATAAGTGTATCAGGCTTTCGTAGGGTTTCTATGGGTAGGGACAAAGAATCTCACTGCGCATGGAGACATTAATTATCCACGAAGGCAAAATTTGTTGCTGTAGAAGGCCTACATGGAGGTAAACCCTACCCTACCGCTCCAATTCATTCAAGGTCGAGGTTTGTGGTCCCCAAAGAGACAAACCGCTTTTGTGCATGACCTGCAGTAACCCCAGGCTCCGACCCTTAACAAAGTTTGGGTCTGCAGGGTACACGTAAAAGTATTAGCCTAAGCCCTTTACCAAAACCCCTGCACTTCCACTTCTCCCGAAGCCTAGAAATTCAAACCCCCAATGCCCCCGATCAGCACAACAAGCGGCTGAAAAGCCGAACCTATCGCCTCCACGGAATGTCATGTGTTTGATTGCCTTGTGTTTCGGTATAGGATCCTAATCGTGAAAGCGGCTAACCAGCCGCAAAGAAGAACTAGAATGGAACAGAGAAAAAACTCTAAACCCTTATACACTCTAACCACCCATCTAGAACCCTTTGAAAGAATCCTCAAGAGGAATCCCAATGTGTGAGTTTCCGAAAATAGGGGACCATGATATAATACCATAAATAGTAGGACCTTTAGAATAAGGACCTCAAAATAAGGCACCCCTAGTTTTCGGAAACTCCCAAACCCTAAATCCTTTATAGAAGCCTTAGAGATCCCCTTAAGGAGCCCTTATAGATCCCTTCTAAGGTACCCCTAACTTTCGGAATCTTCCATGTCGAGACCCAGGCGATATTGGAGAGGATTGTCTTCGGCGGCATCACATCCGACAGGTACAGCGCCACGTGCGCAATCTTCCAGATCTGGGCAAGGACAGCGCGTCCGGCTGCGGGCGAGGGGTCGCTATTGGTTGGTTGAGGGCTCAGAGTTTTTTTTTTTATGAAAAGCCATGTAAGGCTCCATGTGCTCATGACCTTACCCTCAAAATATGGTCTTCGGACCCTCAACATCCAAACATGAAGCCTCAAGTTTGTCCTCGCCCTGCAGGTCTCTCTACATGCCCCAGACAGGCTCCAAAAACATGTACTGTGCTGAAGGAAGTTAAAATCCACAGCTCCCTTTCCAGAGCCTGTATACAAGACAGGTGCTTCTCGGGAATACAATGGAATTCTTGGCTGTTTGGTGTCTGATGCGAAGAAGCCCCTTGAGAAGCTTCGGAACGGCACGAACGATTAGCTTTCAAACCGTTTAACACCACGCTATATAAACCCCTAAGCCCCCAAATCCCAAAATACTAAATCTTGAATCCAGGCCTTGTACAGGTTGATTGTCTGGCAAACACTTGACTTCTGCGAGTGGAGGAAGACCTGGGCTGCTTCGTATATTGTAGTATACCATATTATTGTATTTTGGCATACCATAATGTTAGATCATGATACGCCATAACATTATATTATAGTAGACTGTAATAATATATTAGTGTATATCATAATATATCATGGCATATTTTTATGAAGTTTTGAAGTCGTCTTCGAGTTTTTGCTAGCTGTGAAAAGGCCTATCGGGAGATGAACAAGGTAGTGCATGCCGTACTTAGCACTGGCAACAGGGGCACTATCACCCAATCTAGGCAGTCTTGATTGTACTGATGCTCTGGTAGCTACTCCATGGCAGTTGCTTTGGCAGCGCATGTGTCGAAACCGTCGGTATCACGTACATAGTTCGATATATAGGTAGGTATATAGAAAGATGGATAAATAAGAAGACAGGTATATAGGTGGATTGCTAGAAAAAACAAGCACACAGACACACACTCACACACACCTTCCCACCTTACACAAGAAACCATGAACATTACTTCCGCAAAGTTTCGAGCCTGCCTTGCAACCCCGAAATCCTAAGCCCTTCAACCCTCCTCTCCCGCCACCGCTCAAAGCCCCCAACCCCTAACGACCCGAACCTCGAAACGGCTCTGGTCCTGAACCCTAAGCCGCAAGCCGTTCACGAGTTTCTGAATGCCCGGAATCCCCTCGACTCTTGCTTCGGGGTCCGGGCTCCGGTAACGGTTCCCACGGCCTCGTTGTTGAAGATGGCTCGAGGCGGACACGTCTCCGCCTCGTGGAATGTGCTTATGGCTTATGCTGCTTGTTGGCATATTTCTTGGAAGAAGACCGTGGAAACCCCAAGCCCTAAACCCTAAACCCTAAGCCCTAAACCCAGGCCCTGAACTACTAAACTCTAAGCCCTAAACCCTAAACCCTAAGCCCTAAACCCAGACCCTAAACTCCTACGCACTAACCGTAGACCCTAAACCCTCCGTAGGGAGCCTGGGTTGTGCTCTTCAGGCTCTTGGAGGCAGGCAACCCTTTCACCTAGCCGAACCCTGCTTCAGAAACTTCTCCTATAGTCTCTTATGTGGGTATGTATATATATATATATATATATATATATAGTATATATATATATATATATATATGTATGTATATATGCATATGTGTGTAATGTGTGCACGCATATACATACATACACGCCTGCAGCTGCGACACTCTGGGAATGCGGGCAGCTGCTGTCGGCAATAGACTGAAGTACCACAGCAAACTCACATCAATCAGAAGCTAAGGATGACAGACAGGCAAGGCGGAACTGTTTAAGGTTTAGGGGTTTAGGGTCTCGGGCTTTATTTAGGGTTTGCGGTTTAGGAGAACTTAACAGCTGCAGTACGGTGAACGATTCCCAAACCCCTAAATACCCTGAACACAAAAACCTAAATCCGAACTCTGAGGGGCCCTTAGCCCCCCAGATTCGTCTTCACCTAAGCTTAAACCCTCCGATTGCTCTGTGAGCTCCGAGTCTCAACCCAGGTAGCCCCTTAATGATAAGGGTATCTTTTCAATACTGCTCAGTCGCAGCTGGGAAACCACAAAAGAAAGTACAAAGGAACTACCGTCCGGGAGGGGGGGGAACAGCGGCCATAAAATCTTCCGAGATGCCGGATGCATGTATCCCATGTCATCGGAGCCAGCGACGACGTTTCCGATCATGCGCACTGGCCTTTTGATCGCGCTCTTGGGATCATGGTGTTTTCCTAAACCCCCCAAAAGTAGGTAAAATGATGACCCAATACTCATAAAAGGCTACTATTCTACATACTTCTGGGGTCCTCCTATGTTAGAATAGCCTTATAATTAGATCCACTCTAGTAACCCTGACAGGCCCCTTTAAAGGTCGGTCGCTGCAGCTATGCGGGAAATGAGGGGCTTGCAAGGTTGTCCTGGACCCTTAAGAACCTACCCTTTTTAAGGACGTATATAAGGAAATCATAATAAGGAACCCTAAAAAGGTACCTTTTTAGGGTTCCCTAATATGATTTCTTTGTATAAGTCCTTCAAAAAGGTAGGTTACGGGTTATGGGTGAAAATGCAAGATTTGATGCGGCCTCTGGCACTGGACCCTTGTACCCGTGCAAAAACGCCTCAGTAATTTAAAGGGGGACTTTGGCTGGAGCTTCCAATACTGCACCCAGTTAACACAGGGAACGGCTTAGTACTCCTTTTAGCAATAACTCAGGCTCCTGAAAGTTAACCCCCTCGAGACCAAAACACCGATCAAGACATCCCTCTGCATGTCAGACTTCGAGCAATAGCCAAAGGAAAGAAGGTTCACAAGTAGCAAGCTAAGACCCAGCTACAGTTTGGTCTCGTCGGCTTTCTGAGGGATCTGTAAGAGTTCTGGTTGTTGCGGAGAACAGCCCTTCCCGATTGGAGGCATACATAGAGTTGGGAGGAAAAACCCTAAACCCTAAACCCTCTCATAAACTCAAGACACCCAGCCTACCGTGAAATTGAAAGCCAGAGACCCAGAAACTGTAAACTGGCAACCAGAAAACCCGAAAGCCTAAACCCCAAAGCCCAGCAGAAACCATGCAAGAAGCTTTCTCAGAAACCTAGCTCAACAAGAACACTCATAGAGTTATGGGAGTTTCCGAAGATAGGGGACCCTAATAGGGTACCCTAATTAGTAGGACCCTTATTATAAGACCCCAAAATTAAGGTACCCCTAATTTTCGGAAACTCCCAAGCCCTAAATCCTTTATAGAACCCTTAAAGATCCCTTAAGGAGCCCTTTTAAGGTACCCCTAATTTTCGGAAACTCCCTTATAGACCCCCATGTTACGGAGCTTAAGAGCTTGCCCTTGGCCCCGGGCATCACGTCGGCGCGGATGCCGGCATATTGGATGACCTGAAACGACGGCGCAATAATGGTTACAACAGCCGTCGTAACATGCATAGTTCCACTAGCGAAAGTAGCAGTAATCATAATCATAAAAACCATCGCTAAACCCTAAACCCTAAACCGCAAGGTCTGCAACCCTGCACGTGTAAAGGGTTTTAGCAGGAGCCCCTTCGGGTGTTTAAGGTACTACACACAGGGTCGTATGAAGCTGCTCCAAGGTTGGACGCAAGCTATACAGATTTTGGGTTTAGGGTTTAGGGGTTTAGGATTTAGGGTTTAGGGGTATAGGGGTTTGGGGTTTAGGGGTTTAGGGTTTAGGGTACCCCAAAGCCTATTCTAATTATGAAGGCCCCTGTGCTTTCAGGCAGATTTTAGCAGATGACAGGAACCCTCCAGGAGCCCCAGGAAGAAACCTCTTTCCAATCACTGCAGGCCCCTGTGTTGACAGCTTGGGGGTTTCCTCCATGAGCTCGGGGCTCTCTTTTGGCTGGGGGCTCGGGGCTCGGGGCATCGTGGGATTTGGGGCTTTGGGCCATTGCAGCCGTTTAGGGTTCTAGGGCTTGAGGTACCCAAGAGCTCCTAACTCCCCTGATAATGGAGTTTCCAGGGGCCCTAATGGTAGATACTTGAGGTATGATACGGTTGATGATATAAATCCTGCACTACCCCTAAGTATAAGGAGTATATACTATAATTCACATAGTCTAGGGTCAGTAAGGTATTGCGGACAATAGATCATCAACCGCAGCATGTGAGAATTCATTGTCAAAGGGAAGATCTGGCATGCACGGGAAGCCACGAAGTTGTCCACAAACGCACACCCTAAATCCTAAGCTCTACACCCTATAAAGCCTAAACTCTAAACCCCAAACCCTGAGCCCTAAAAACCTAAACCCCACAACCCAAAAAATCCAAAAAAAACCCTAAAACTCTACAAACCTAAAGCCTAAAGGCCCTATGAAGACCTAAACTCCTAAACAACCGTTGAAGCCAGGAGCTCCTAAACAATTCAACTCCCAAACCAAAAACTCATCCCCAAAACGTTAAAAGCCCTGGAACCTTACAAGAAGCCCCATATGCCTCTAGCCCATGCCATGAATCCCTGAGGCGTTAACCACCCTAAGCCCTGGAAGTAAACTCCATAAAGAATCCCAGCAACACCTACGACATGCCAGAAGCGAGACCCACATAGAATCCCTGTACAGCCTGTAAGACTTTTCCACAAAACCCTGAAAGGCAAAGCAACGGCCAAGGGCCGGACGATTACCTGCGAGTCGTCCTCTGCAATCCTCAGTCAGTGCCACCACGGTCTAGGTCTTTTGGTCTAGGGCTTTAGGGATTTAGGGCTTTAGGTTTCAGGCTTGTGCTACCTTTCTTTTGAGTTGTTGGAGCTTACCTTGGCTTGGGCGGAAGGGGGTTCTCTGGGCTGCAAGGGTTTGGGATTCGGGTTCAGCATAATGTAGGAACCTGATCAAGAATCCCTGGGCCTATAACCCCAAGATAGTCGGATTCTGTATAAAGAACCTTAATAAAGGCCCAAAGTTTCTTAATCGGGTTCCTTGATTATCTTTTCTTGCCCCGAGGTTTAGAGTTTGGGGCTCCTCGGACCCAAAGACAATGTTATAAAAAGGCATGTGAGCCAGTGCTCGAACATCAGGGGCTTATGAGGGTTCTATAAGTTGGTACATAAGTTTGCATTTAATTCGGGTTTTATTTTCCAAGGGGCCTGGGGCAGGTCACGGTTCTGCATGCAATTCAGTCTTTATGGCCTTGCTGCTTTCAGAGGTTCACTGGCTTGAAAAGCTAAGCTTCGGACTGTCAGACTTCCAACTTAGCTTTGGGCTTTGAATTCGGGAATCTCGAGGTTTTGTGCTTGGCGCTTGGGAAAACCCCTACATCCCCTAAACCGTAATGGCAGCATCTTCTCCCCTAAACCCTAAACCCTAAACCCTAAAGGCCCTAAACCCTGAATGGTAGCAGCTTTACCAGTAGCAGGCCCAGGTTTACATGTGACGGTGCCAATGCTTGGAGGGTCGGGGGACTTAGTAACTGGTTATTGTAGGGACTGAAGGGTTCCTTTAAAGGGCTCTATAAGGGTAGTATAGGGTTTAGGGTTTAGGGTTCAGGGACTTAGTAAGTAGGTAGTAAGTAGACTTATAAGTACCCTAAAAGGGCCCCAATTGGGGTTCTGGTACTTATAAGTCCCAAAAAGAACCAGTTACTAAGATCCCTGACCCTCCAAGTGCAGTCCCAGGCACGCACGAGGTGCTGTGTCCGCCATCTTGACGCCTGTCGCGGGGTTCAAAGTTTAAGGTTGACGGCTTGGGGGTTTCGGGGTTTGGGGTTTTGGGGCTCAGGGTTTATGGTTTAAGGTTCAGGGTTTGGGGTTTAGACTTTAGGCCCCGAAACTCGAAACCTTCATGTTACATAGATATGGAGCACAGGGGAAGCACAAATGCGCCCCAACCTGGCTCAGCCAGCAAGGTGTAACTGCGCTACGTTGCACCTCCGGGCAAAGAAGCTCACAGTGTAGACACTACAACCCACAACTGTTTAGGGTTTAGGGGTTTGGGTTTTGGGTGCCCGCAACCTCTTCAAAACCAAATCCAGCTCGTACACACCTAGAAAAATCAAATCAACCATCAAGCAAAACCGGCAAAACACTGTTTCAACACGGCACTCCCTGCAGCCTCGCAAGGTACTATATGGGAGTTTGCGAAAATTAGGGATACCTGGTTTTGGTGAGAATAAGGATGCTACTGTTTAAGCTACTATATTGGGTTCCCCTAGTTTAGGAAAATCCTTTATCAGGAGCTTGGACGTGCGCCAGAATAATGCCATCCCCAAAAATCCGGGATTTGAGTTAGAGTTTTTTGTATACGGTAGCAGGTGCTTGGAGCCCGGTGAGGCCTAAATATAGGGGCCTTGATAATTACCTATACTATTTTGGGGGTTCCTTGATATAGTTATAGTATCTTACCTTTGGTCAGTAGGGAATGGAGGAATGGGGTAGACTTATAACTACTATTACTTGTATGTGGACCCCTGCAACTCCACCAGCCCATGTACGCTTCCATGCATAGGCCTAGGATGGCGTTGTCCTTCATCGTCACGGCGAAGCCCTGACTGACGGCTTGACTCAAATAGCACCGTGGCCCTTAACTATATAAACTAAGGACCCAACAAAACACATAAGCATAAGCATTTTATAGGGATATCTCTACCTTATTGGGCTTCATTATAAGGGGACGATTCGGCCGTATACTCCGTAACCTTTACGTGAGCGGTATTGAGGGATGCAGGCGTGCTCGGGCTCATTGGGTGAAGGGTTCGGGTTCAGCCCTTTGGGTCCTAAACGTGAAGCGCTTGCAGCGCACCAACTGGAATCAAGGTACAGTATATGTCATGATCTGAAAGAGAACAACAGTTGCAGACTTCCGGGATTGATGACTGACCATCTGATGGGGGCATTGAAATAGTAGAGCTCCAAGCAGAAACAGCTACGACGCAGTGGTCAAATGCATTGCAGACTCAAAGCCCTCAGCTACACCGTGCTGGTGCCAATTACGGCAATGCCTGCAAGTGAGGCGATCAAGCCCGAAAGCCGTGCTAATCATCTATTCAGTTCAGCTTTCTTCGAGCCTTTATCGGACACGTAGTGCGATGCTTCAAACGTAAATCCGCATTGGCACACATCTGCAGGCTTTGCGCGGCGACCTCTTGCAAGAAGATTCCACCATTCAGCGAGTTGACCATGACCTTAGGCGAAAGACAAAAACGTCTACCAGCAATCTCCAACTAAACCGTATGTACTACTACTACTACTACTACTACTACTACTACTACTACTGCTGCTGCTGCTGCTGCTGCTGCTGCTGCTGCTACGACGACTACTAGTACTAGTACTAGTACTAGTACTAGTACTAGTACTAGTACTAGTACTAGTACGACTACGAGTACGAGTACGAGTACGAGTACGAGTACGAGTACGAGTACGACTACTGCTACTGCTACTGCTACTGCTACTGCTACTGCAACTGCTACTGCTACTGCTACTGCTACTGCTACGGCTACTGCTACGGCTACTGCTACGGCTACTGCTGCTGCTGTCACGATTATGCCTTCCGATCGAAGCCTCATGCTCTGCAATAGAGGGGCACTGGGCTAGAACAGAAGGCAGAAGGCTTTGGGTTTAGGGCTTAGGATTTCGGACGGTTTGGGTTTCGGGTTTAGGAGTAACGATGAACCGAAGCCCGATGCGAAGGTCCCGAATCCGTAGACCGGGGCCTCGGTTACAGTCCGTTCCCCAGGATATCACGGGATCTATAAGGGTTCCTTTAAAGGGATAAAACAGGGTTCCTGTACAGGGATCTATAGGTTTTCCTTTAAAGGGATCCATAAGGCATCTACAGGGCTTTAGGGGTTTGAGGCTTTAAGGCTTTCGGGTTCAGGGTCAGGGCTGTATATTTAAAGATCTAAGGCCTGGGGCTAAGGCTTAGGGTCTGATGGGGTTTTGGGGTCTTGGGGTCAACTAAGTTTTGCATCGCGGTGGGGTCGGGGGTTAAAACAACAGCAACCCAGCGTATACCAACCTGGGCTGCTAGCGAAACCCTGTTCCTAAGCCGTGCTTCAGGGTCGTACCCAAGACAAGGGTCCAAAGAAAAACGGGCATGCACTGCGGTGGAAGTCGGTGTGCGACAGGGAACTCTACCCTGATACGGACGCCGGCTGGCTTGCTCGGGCTGTCGCGGCTCCAAAAAAATTCTTGAACAAATATTCTACGGTGTGCGCACAACAAATTCTGGTCCCTCGATCATTGGAATCGGTCTCTTGATTCTGGAATCTGGCAGCCCTTCCGGGTGTTTTGGTTACATGACAAACTAGCAACTCGGGGACAAGATATTAGTTACACTCTTCAAACACAACCACGAGCTGAAACTTGTCGTGCTAGGCTGCATTTCCTAAACCTGCAGTAGTAGCCGGTAAGTTGGAACATCACTATCTTCATGGCCTTAAGGTACAACATAGGGAATCCTAGCAGCAATCATCCTAAATCCGTGTTCCAACTTTCTGGGGTTGACTGTACTTCTTTGTGCTGCAGCTGCAGCAAGGCACGATTGAAAGCATGAACCTTCGTGCTCATAGGGTTGAGCCTCCGGGTTGCGCACGCCGAATTTTCGCCGATCACAAATGAGGCTCAAAGTTGACACCCAATACGGCTGAACTGAAGCATGCAGGAGTCGTCCTTTACCTTCGGAAGGTGCTGCTAAAATGGGCCAGCTCCACTTCTTGCGAACCAACTCCGAAGCTCGTTCGCCATGCTGCCCACTTCACTAGACTATCCTTAGATTCAAACGAAACTCTGTTCTGAGTTCTACCGCGCAGATCTCGAACGGCACACAACCTTATCTGTTCTGCCTATGAATTATGCTAAGCTGAAACCCGACGAAGGTTGAACGTCTGCCACTGAAAAGGATCTTCTGTTTTGGATACGAGGGTGACATGTGTCGCGGGATGATCTAATATATACTCAGCATCAGGAGCCTCTGGATTGCAGTCTGAATAATGGAATGAGTCGTGCGACCAGAGATTCTGACAAGTTGAAAGATTTCACACAGCATGCGGCACCGGGGCAGAAGAAAACACGAGGTAGACGATACTAAACGTTCAAACGTCAAACCTGTATTACGGGTGGATGTTCCTCTGCACAATCGTATTTGGTTCCTCTGAGACTTAGACCCAATAAGGGAAAATAAGAAGCCCACGTGGCGTACCCAAATGAAACCCATAGGGACGCAAGTACCTAGCAGTCTTAAACCCCAAATTCTAACCTACGCAACTAATTAGTATCCCAAACCCGAGTACCTGTTTTTGTGGCCTTCGCACCGTTAAGGTAAGCGTGATAGTGTCACTACTACAACTTCTGTGACCTTGGGGCTAGCATGGCTGAAATCTCTCAGGTGTAGAAGCTAAAAACGTAAAAGCATTGCCGCGAGGGGCCATGGGCCAATGCCATGTCTACTTAGACCGTAAAACGATTCCTGTACACACGCCAAAGCCCTAAACCCTAAACCCTAAACCCTAAACCCCAAAGCCCGCATGGACCGGTATGGTTGCGCAACACGCTGACAAGCGAAAGGTTTATTTCACGGAACACAAAACGTCTGAAGGTGATGACCCAAGCCCGAAAACAGCACCAATTCTGAGTTGCTAGATTTATCAGCTAAAAAATGAAGCATTCGGACTTAAGGAGAAGTGTAGCATCCCACATAATCTTCATAGCTACACGTGCAGCTACTTCCCAACAGCAACCATAAGAACAGCGACCCCTTAAACCCTAAACCCTATAACCCCTGAAACCTCTAAACTCCTAAACCCCCAGACCCTAAACCCCTAAACCCGTAAACCTCCAAACCCTGAACCTCTAAACCCAAACCTGAAGGCTCGTCCCTTTCAGGCTTCCCGCGTTGTTCGTGATGAGGACAGGCACATTCGAGGACTCCAGATGAAGGGGATACTCCTGGCTCGCAGGTGTTCATAGGGTTTAGCGTTTGGGGCTTTGGTGTAGCGACCCTCTCCGCACGAATGTAATAAGGGTTTAGGGCTCAGGGTTTAGGATTGAGGGTTTTTGTGGGTTGTACTCAGCTTCTTTTCGGCCGGGTTTGCGAGAAATCTCACTCTACGGGGGGCTCGGCGGCTAGGGGGTTAGGTTTACCTGCAGTCTTCTGCGCAGCTTCTTGTGGGTTGCCTTGCAGCTCCATTGCCGGATCCTGTACCTAAAATCTGGGCAACTAGGACGGACCCTGGAACCCAAACACCTGAATCCTACAAACCAACCCTTGTTAGGACATGACTCAAAACCAAGGTTCTGATGAGACTCCAACTACCGTTGAGCGTATCACTGAAATTCCTGCGAGTGAAAAACATGAGACACCCGACATGAAGGGTAGTTAAGGAGGGTCGTGCTGCGGGGACCAGGGAGATACTGAATTATTGCGGCCCGGTCGTTGAGTCAACAGACGCCACAATCCTCAGATCTCTGGCCTCCGGCGCTCCGGTGAAACACAAAGCAATCGCAAGCTCGGTCTCCGGCCCACAGCTTTCCCCAAAGGGTCCTGTCAAAATTAGGATCCCTTTTTGGGTACCCTAAATATTAGTTGCCGTACTATAATAGGGACCCAAAGGGGGACCATAATTTTGACAACCACCCATATATACTTTGGGGGCCCATATACCTACTATGATGGTACTTGGACCCTTTGGGTTTCGCGCCGGGTACACACGTGGCTCCAGTGCGCGCATACATATAGGAGTTTCCGAAAATAGGGGACCCTAATATAGTACCCTAAATAGTAGGATCCTTATAATAAGGACCCCAAAACAAGGTACCCCTAGTTTTCAGAAACTCCCATATGCCGGATGCTCGACAGAGCGGCCTGAGCAATCGCATGTTTCACCATCTCATTTAGAATGCGTCCGTTGCTCCTGCATGCTCTGGACTGGCCTGGCACTGAAGCAAAAAAGACAGTCGCAGAACATCAGTCCGCCACCATCAGCATCTGTCAGGCACCAGTTCTCCCATGGATATTGGTCCCAAAAGACCCGGCTTCTGCTTTTAGCCGGCATGACCGCACAGGGTTCTGTCGCGGAAGGGTCACGCACATACGATACATTCACTGTGTGGTAAAATGGGGAGCCCGCGGATTCAAGAGGATTTAGGGCTTAGAGGTTGAGGGGTTTAGGGTTCTTTTACCGAACATGGCTGGTGCATTTCGGCATTGTGGTGATTGGGGTATATGGTTTGGTGCTTCCGGCCGTAATTATACTAGACGGGCCCGAAACATACTCGTACAGTAATGTCTGAACAACCCAAAACCACTCTAAACCGTGCACCTGAGACGTGAATGGGTATTTCAGACGGCCGACAGAAGAAGCTTTCGCAACTCGCGAGTCTGTATCTGGGTTACTAAAATAAGGAAACCATATTATTACTCAATAGATACCCATTCATGGTATCTTAAACCCTAAACCCTATACCCTGAAAGGAAAACCTTAGAAGAGCCCTTAAAGGAGCCCTAATAAATACCTACTATGGTAACTTAGTTGATTTCTTTAACAAGAACCCAGGACTCGGAATCCCAAAGACGTGGCGGCAGTGGCCACGGAGGACGTCCACGAGCAGCCGTGGAAGAGGAGCACTGGTGGTGGCTCCTAGGAGGTTTGGGGTTTACTTGGAGGGTCGGGGGACTTAGTAAGTAGGTGGTAAGTAGACTTATATATAAGTACCCTAAAAGAGACCCTAACTGGGGTTATGGCACTTATAAGTCCCTAAAATAACCAGTTACTAAGTCCCCCGACCCTCCAAGTAAGGTTTAGAGTTTAGGGTTTAGGGGGTCCTAGGAGATTTGGGCTTAGGGCAGCCCTTCAATGTCTGCCCAGAGTAAGCAAGGTACCTTAAAGGAAGACATACTAGGGTTTAGGGTTTAGGGTTTAGGGTTTAGGGTACCTTAAAGGAAGACATACTAGGGTTTAGGGTTTAGGGTTTAGGGTTTAGGGTACCTTAAAGGAAGACATATTAGGGTTTAGGGTTTAGGGTTTAGGGTACCTTAAAGGAAGACATATACGGTGCAGTATGGTGTAGTGTTGAAGGCCTCTCTACAAGGTATGTTTGGACTTGAGTAGCACGAACGCATCAAGCTTAGTTCCTTTGATTGAAGGTACATTGGCTTCCCTGGGTGTATAGTCTACACTCTGTGCTGATACGGTTAGCATGTCATAACCGTCATAATCCGCCGAGGCCACAGGCCCAGGCGTTTTGGTGGTTACCTCAGGTACCCTCCACCTAATCCTCCTCCCTGCAGTCCGAATGTTTGGGGACACCCTGTTTTTGCGCTCGTTTGCCACCCCCTTGCCCGGCCTCCCCTCATTTTCTTTGATTTGCGGGCCTACCTGCCCCCTCCCAGGCCTCCTCCCCCCTCTTTTTTTCCTCCACCCGCCGTTTTTCCCTTCCCACCCCCTCCCCCCCCCCCTCCCCCCCTCCCCCCCCCTCCCCCCCCCCTCCCCCCCCTCCCCCCCCCTCCCCCCCCCTCCCCCCCCCTCCCCCCCCCTCCCCCCCCCCCCTCCCCCCCCCCCTCCCCCTGTGCCGATACACCCCCAAGGGATACTCCTTGTGAGGAGGTGTATGACCAGTTATTCCCTAAGGATCAAAGGGCAGCGCCCTGCACACGGACAGTAGTTGTTTTGTCTTGCTACGCAAGGAGAGCTTGTCTTGTCTCAATATGGTAAAACCACTGTGAGCCAATGGGCAGCGGAATGTATATGTATGAGCATGCAGCCATTGCTGTAGGTACCTGTTAGAGCTACCCCTTTAGAGGTTTATGGTTTCAAACAGACACTAATTTTCTTTTACCGGAAGCATGGCCGCACATTCACACATATACTATTATGCCCACTGTCACAGTTGCGGAGTTTGGACTCATGATAAAAACAGCATATTGTTTATGCTATGTATAGCACTGAAGTACACTGTTGAAGTCACTCCACTCATTTTGCACACACACTCATGCATGTTGGTCAGAGAGATCATCTGTACAAGATCATGTCTGGTGATGTTTTCTACATCGAATTATGTAGCCTTTCACTTTGCTCTTGTTAGAGCTTTGTGAGTCACTATTGTGAAACTCTGAGATTCTCTTATCTCAGATTTGGATCCAGGTTTGGATCATAGGCTCGAGCGTAGACGTTCGGATGTGGCTCATCCGGGTCTGAGTGATCTTCTTCGGAACTTGAAAAGATTCCGAGTAATCTGTTCTCAGCCCTGGTGAAGGCGGCGTCTGCAGTATCATATCCATGGTTGGATGTTGTCGCCTTTGGCTCGGCCTTTGGAGCAGCTTGTGAGCTGGCTGGAGTTGCCTTGGCTTTTGCCGGTTGCGGCTGCTTAGCCTTTGCCCGTTCAGCCCTTCTTCTTTCAAGCTGTCCGTCTGAGGACGCCCATGATCTTTCGCTTTCATCTCCTGAAGGAGATAAGGCGTGGGCATAAAGGCTATTCCAGTACTGTGGTGCAGAAGGAGTTAGGACTTCTTCATTGTCAGATTCTGATTGGTCTTCCTCAGAGCTTTGGTCGTCAAAGAGTGTCTCGAGGACATTTTTGAGATTGTTATTTCTTCGCTCTATCTCTAGTGAGGAATGGACCAATTGGTTAAAGACTGTCCTTGAGTCCTTCAGTGCTGTTAGAAGGATTTCCACTCTGGATAGAGTATCTTGGATGGTGTCAAGATGTTCCTTTCTTTCCTCCTTGTCTCTCTGGATAGAGCCTCGCAATGCTTGTGCGATTCTGAGGAGGTCTGTGTATTTCGCAAGAGGCATAGTTACCGTTTGATTGTCATGTATGACAGTTGTTTCGTCGCCGCTTAAGTTCCTGAATAGGACTTCCACGACTGGTAGGAACTCCGTGCTCCACGGTTCCTCTTCATCATATGTTTCTACGTGCTGTAGCACGCGTTGTGTAAACTGGCCGGCTGCTTCTACCGTTGCATCGATAGAGCTGACGTGTCTTGCTACTATGTTTCGGCACGTAACGTTAATTGCCTGGCCTTGATTGGCTTCGTCAAGTGCAGCGTCTGCATAGGTGCAGAGTCCACTGTTGTGGGCTTCTCTAGCTGCCTTTCGTTGAATGCGCCGATTTTGACCTCCTCTTCTGGTAGGACCTTTTGGTCTTGGAGGATCAGAAGGTACTGTTCCTTTCGCCTTTGGCGGAGGACTCTTAGGTGGAGGTGATATGTTTGCCTTGTTAGGCCCTGGTGGCATTGCCTTGGGCGCTGATGACGATGCGGCACTTGAGAGTGCAGATGTACCTCTGGCCTTTGCCGAGGATCCCTTGGGGATCGATGTATAGGTAATCTGCATGGCTTCTTCGGCCATTTGTGCATGCAAGGCATCCTTGAATAATTGTGTCATGTGAGGAGTGTTACTTGCATCATCGTAGGTCTGGAAGCGCTCAATGTCTCTTTCGGTGCCACGTGGTCGTGTATCACCTCTTTGGAAAGGATCGTTCCTGCGAATCTCCGCAACTTGTACTGCATGGAGGCAGTTTTTGCACAGCACCTTCTTGCAAACATCTCTTGCTTGCTTGAGCTGGTAACAGCTGTCTGAGAGATGGTAGACTTCGCTTCGGGAAGTATGCCAGATAGGTCGCAGATCAGTTGTTTCTCCGGAATTGACCCTGTTGGGTCCTAAAGGTTCACGCGTCTGCGGTTCATCCTCGGGTTCGAGGAATGGAACTCTTTGGTTCGCTGCTGCTTTTGATTTTGGTTGTTGGCGCTCCATACATCTGATAGGAGGCCTGGTAATCTGCTTCCACATCCAGTGTAAGCCCATTAGCAGCAGGAACACATTCCACGCGATGCTGAAGACGGAGAAGTCCTGCTCACTGGTTAGTGAGTTTGGAAGTGAAGTTTCATCAGTCTTGGTAGACTCTGCGTTCGCTCCACCTCGGTTGCGGTGTCCGAACCAGCCCGACAATCCCGCTGCTGTAGCAGCTGTTCTGAGTGCCTTGCCGCTCGGAGCAGACGGTGGACGCGATGCCTTCCTTCTTCTTCTCCGGCTGGAGGATTCGTCCTCTTGTTCCTCTTCATCTCTCTGAGCAGACATCAAGTTTGATGTTTCTCTTTCGTGTTCTTCGATGTCACTTTTTGTTGGTGACGGTTCTTCTTCTAGTCCATCCAGCTCTTCCAAAGACATGTTGAGCTTGTCAACAATATTGGTTCTTTGAGGCCTGGACCTTGATCTTGGTAGATCTTGTTGTGAAGAGGACGATGATTCCTGGTTCCTTCTTGGAGGAGGACCTTCAGGCTCGCTGGGACGTTCAGGCTGTGGCCACTCCCAGAATCTTCCATATCTGTGATGGCTACCTGATGGTTGCGATTTGTCGTACCAGCTGTTGCCGGATGAGTAAACGAATGAATCGTTGTAACCCCAGTATTCAGCATTACGCTGCTTGTAAGCCTTTCGCTTGTCAGCGATCTTCTGGACCTGGGCATCTGACCGGTTGTGTTTCCCTTTTGTAAGGATTGGTTGTATCGTGAAGCCCAAAGGGCTGTGCCAATCTTTGTCAGAGGGACTCAACCATAGGTCAAGGTTAGAAAAAGTTGAATAGTACTGCTTGACTGAGACAAACAGACGGATATCAATATCCCTGTTGTTGTTCGTGTCCTGCCACATATCTGAGATTCGTTCCCAGTATGTTCTTTCAGCGGCAGGTGTGACCTCTCTTGGACTAGGTGACGCCGTGTGCGGCGTTTTACTCCAGTCAAGGATATAACTGTTGATACAGTCAAGGTCAGCAACTTTCTTCGCCGGGTCCGCCGGTAGACGATCTGCACGTGCCAGTCTGTGCTGGTCGGAGTTGTTCAAGCAAAGATGTCGCACTTGTGAGTGCCTTCCTGCTATTTTGTTGAATGCTGCAAGTTTCTTCTCCAGGTATAGAGAAAACAAACTGTTTCGCGGGTGAACGTCTCCACCTTTTAAGGTGAGCCTCGACGCAATATTATTGAGATCTCCCGCTATTACATCCGGTTTAAAAGGGAGAACCTCGTTGAGGAACGCGTTCACCAGTTCGCGTCTCTGTTCTTCCTTATGAGTCATGAATGAGTTGAAATGGACGATCGCGATGGTGATGACCTTGTAAGGCCCTTTTGTACACCACATCTCGTCAAGATCGTTTGATGCTTCTTGTGAGAAGATCTCTGCGTATGACTCAAAGTCTTCCTCTGGTGGCTCATCACCCTCGACATGGCCGTTCCATTCACAGAGAATCGGCGAGGGGTCGAGGTTCGACAGTGTCAGGCACGCCTCTGGTGAGAGGTAAGAGCCATCAGTGGGTCCATCCTTGTCAGGATTTTTGCCCTTGAGTGGGTCATATCCGATAATCTGCATGAACTCGTCTCTCGTCATCCTTTGGCCAGAATATGGGTGGACCCATTCTTTTGCCTCTGGTATGGTACTGTGGTACCCAAAGGTGAGGCGGCATACCGCACCGTGGCATGCCCACAGTCGCTTCTTGGGACCACCATTCTTAGGTTTCATTGTTCGATGACGATAAAAGTGGTGGACGAGAGCGATGTCTGTTGTTGGGTCACCCTTGACTCCAATATACATCGAGGGTGCCTCAGGCTCCTTGGGAGGAGAGTGGATTAGCATCCCCCTGTATTCGT